GCCGGTTACTGAACTTCTGAATACATGTACCCCATAGAGCAATAAACATCTTTTGGAAATTTCATGTAAAAATAAGGTTTTTATCAAAAGTTGTAGCTCATGAAATTAGGAGAACGAACTTTTGGGACACCCCGTGGTCGAGCCGCGATAATACAAGCGACTCTGCAAGTCTCCAACGTAAAATGGTTTAATTTTCGCAGTGTGTGTAAGACTCCATAAGAAGAATAACAGATGTCCTTGACATGATCATGCCATTTAACGTTCTCTTGGAACTTCACTCCTAGTAGCCTTGTTTCAGACTCTTTCTAGTTGACGATACGAAATTTCTAATTGTTCGCCATGAAGTCAGGTCAAGTGGATAGCGAGAGATAGCGTTATCCACCTTTCGAACAATTGGGTCCCGACAGTTTTTACCGTGAATACTGTATTTGTATAGGCAATAGCATGATTAGTTGGTAGTGATATTTGGCATTAATACCGAAAGTGATTTTCCAAAATTCTTATACGTAATTTCATGAGCCGTTAGGCGAATGAAATTTGAGACAATTTTGAAAAATCACGAGTGGTATTTATGCCAAAGATCACGTACAAATCATGCTATTATTTGTTTATACTACTGCCCGCAAAAGTTTTGTTATTTTCACATGTAGGTATTTCAAGTTAAGCTGAAATACCATTTCTCTAAGCCAATCAAATTGCAGATAGTAAAAATGGAGACCTCGACGCATGCCCCGTTGCCAATATTCCCAGATGAGTCCTGGTTACGATAGTGAATCCGGATACAGGTCGGATACGCGTGGACGGGAAAATAGGCCATTCCCGAGTTCCCCTGTGCCTTAATTCTATCTAAACGAGGTTAAATGCTTAGCCTTTGAAATGGAAATGATTTTTCATTCTCATGCAAATAAAACCCATTTTCACAAGAAAGGTTGTGCACTTTTGAAAGTGAGGAATTTTGGAACTCGGAAGTGACCTATTCGATTTGAATACGGTTACATGTGGAAATCCGGAAACAAAAAGTTGCGGATTCAAAAATATCTGGATACGTGTGGTCGGGGCCTTAGGTTCTTCATTTACTCAGTTCAGTTGTACGTGACAAAAGTATCCGCAACAAGTAGCTTCTTTGGAGAAAACGCTGATTTAAAACATTTTCATCTCACCAGCTTTTACAAGTCGGCTCATCTGGGTGAGAATGGAGAAGTCGACAACAATTTATAATGTTTTCATCGTTTAAAGCTTTCTAAAAATAAATACAGGAACATTTACTACCCCAGCTGTATTATTATAACTTTTAGCCGCTGTAATTCGTTGCTACTTAGATAGTTTATACCAAGTGGTTTGGAAAAGACAGACAAACAAGAATCTCTGAAAAAAATGGACAAGTTAAAATTTTGAGCAAGACATGTTTTGATCGACCTACGATAAACTTCAGCTGCAAAAGATACAATTACTTTAAATGATCTAATTGAACAGGTTTGCGCCCCCTCTAAAAAAGCCCTCATGTCTTATAAGCGCTCCCACTGCGATGTTAAGTTTGTATCAGAAGACCCTGTCTAATAGACGCCCCCCCCCCCCCCCCCCTCGCAATTACTCCAAAATACTAGGAAATATTAAAAAATGAGCAAAATCATTCAATTTGTTACGTTTCTTGCTCCATTAACAAGGCTCTGTGGATTACAACATCTTATCGGCGAACGGCCAGGTCCTATATAGGCTGATTTATGCGCCTGAAAGAGGAACCCCTCTGCTGCCATGTTCGTAATCTTTCGAGAATTTTAAAAGTTGAAACGAAGTTTTGATATCAACTTTTTTTAAGTGCAACAGTGTCAGTTCACATATGATAAAGAGAAAATGACGGACAGTCTTGAACCTGAGGATATATACCAATGAAAAGAAGCGTTTGAAAAAGGACCCAGTGCTTCGAAAGGAGCTCAAACGCTTTTGAAGACTGCGTATGAATCCGAACGAATAAATACATACTGAGACGAAGTTTCAAACTCTCCCGAGAGCACAACAGTGTAACTGAGATTTGCCTTAAGATATCTTGTAAATTGTGCTAAAGATAAAATATTCTTACCAGTTTTTATTTTCTTTTGTTCGCGGTTTTCAAAGCTTTGATCCGAGGCTCTCTACCTCTAAGGACACCATTGCATGGAATATTCAGAGAAGAAGTATGTGCAGTTATGTACCGTCATAATCATTCACTTCCGTGATTTGGTTTTCCTTTACAATATAAATAACGAATTAAAAATGAAATTATTGGAATTGATATAAGTCGCTAAAAACAACATTTGTCCGGCATGAAATCAACAGGGTAAGACCTGACTTAATATCATTAACTTACAAAACAGAGCCTGGAAGTTATGACGCATTGTTGAAAGATTTAATGCGAAAGAAAAATGGACTTATTGTTATAATTAGAAAATTGCAGACAACGGAAATGAAATGTTTATGACACAAATTTGCACTGACATTTTGAGGAGATAGAAGAGTAACGAGCGGACGATGGCATTTCACCTAAATTTTGCAGCTCTTGCCGTCATCGGTGTAGGATATTAACCAGGGGTAAGCTACTATTAAGACGTGACATACTTCAAACGCTCAACCTAATTTTTTCCAAGATTCTGCAAAGTCAGGCACTGATATTGACGTCTGTCTTTCAAGTGCTCTTACTGAAAGGAATTTTTGGCAGTTGTGATGACACTGTTATTTTCCAGCTTGTAAAAATACACGTAAACTGTGTGGAATTGTTTGTATAATAGGACCCAGCTGCCTCACACACACACCTCGCCGTTAAGGACATGAAGCAGCTAAATTCTCGGAAAAATTGTAGACGTTGACTAGAAACGAAGTCGGAGTAGGAGTCACAGCCATAAAATCTTTCTGTTAGACCCTTTAGGTCGAAATGACAAATTTCCCTACCCTTAGCGAAACCCCTACACTTTCAAATACCTGGGACCCGTTTCTCGAAAGTCCCGGTAACTGTTCGGGCCCGAAATCAAATATTTACATCGAAATATAAAGAATAAGAGCGCGAGTCCTGGCTAGCAGATTACTACATTTTGTTTCACTAACTGATAGTTTTATCATGCTAGATGCAAAACTATTGAAACCTCGATCTTTAATGTAAACGGAGACAGCTTACCGGGCCCGTTAATCATCGGGACTTTCGAGAAACGGCCCCTGAAGCCTTAAGAGAGTCTTAAGAAAGTACCCCTTTCGGTCGGAATCACCCACTATCCGCCATTATAGGGAATACTGTACCCCCTCTCGGGTTCCCAATAAGGTTTTTCGAAACTAATAAAACACAAACTTTTTACAAACATCAGGGAAGGCAAACGTATTTTTCCAAACGTTACTTCAGAACTCAGTAAAACCTCGCGACTAAGAACCTGGATTTTTCCAAGTTAGCCTATTAAAACAGGTTCTTAATATATAAATGGTAGTTAAAAATAAAATATATAGCTAAGAGTATATAGTGGTTCAGCTTATTCCTCACATAAAATCTACATACAAAATTATGTAAAAATGACCATAAACGAAGAACTAAAGCATTGACCTCGAATAATTTCAGTAAAGTCCTACTTCAGGACATAACGTATACATTTGTTGCAGTTCTATCGATAACAACTTTATTTCATTGATTTTAAAACATTGGCGTTTACATTGCAGTTGGAGTGATAAGGCACCTATGTCTCCAAAGAGGATTCTGAAGGTTGATTTATCTTATTTGCCCAAGTGTACAGATCTTTTTTCATAGATTTTAGAAAAGAATAGCTTGTTTAAAATTTTAGGCTAAACAGGTTCTTACATAGAGGAGGCTCAACTGGCAAATTGTAGCCTAATAGGTTCTTAGTCGCGGGCTTTTACTGTGCTTAACATTTCATTATGATACTTCATACACCATCAGAAGAGACCGTTAAGTTGATTAACAACTAAACTTAGATCTACTTGTAAGACTGGTAAACAGTTTTTTACTGACTAATCTCCATCTTAAACTTACTCTATACAAAGTTCTTTAAAGACGGTCCAGACTGCCTAATAAAAAAAACTGTGGCAGATCATTAGGCAGGAAAAGTTTAACGAAGAATGATACTTAACTGGAATCCTAATCTACCACAAGGGTAAGGGGTGTGACACCGAAAGCCCATCTATGTATTTATTTATTTTAAGGATCAACTCAATTTATGCTGCTTTCAATGAAGGTCTATTTGACTAACATGTATTAAATGATGTTTTATTAGAGCGGTTTTCACTTGACTGTCGAAAGGGATTGGTTTTGGTTTTGGTTTTGGTTTTACTACGCCCGTTTGTTGGCTAGTGTACTTACTTTGGTTTTGGTTTTACGAGAGTCAAGTGAAAACCGCTCTAATCAATAAACTAATCAATAAATTAGATCTAGATTGGGAATGTTTTGCTCATTTTCAAAGTACGGATTTGATTTTAACCAAACCATTTAATCTCCGGTTTTTTACTCAGTCCAGCGTGCTTTATATTTACTTCCTTTCAGTCCTTTCCTAACGTCTTTACTTGGCAACCTGTATCAATTTGCGATACTAAATAAAGTAGTGGATAAAAATAGAAGGAGAAGGTTATAAATATGAAAGGCACAATATTAACAAAAGCTCCATCAGTGGGATCTGTGCACGGCAAGCCACCAACATGTAGACATTCAGACTCCTCCTGAAAAAAGCCTCAGTTTCAGACAATTTGGCAAAAGGTTGACATTGTTTTCTGGCAAGAAAGTCCTTTTGTGGTCCTCGTCTGAAGAAGGCAGAAGCGATTATAGTGACGAATAGTTATGTAGATAGTAATAATTATAAAGAACTAAAAACATTACCACGTTTATTATATCTAGAATGAGTTAATTATGAGATATTGAGCGCTGCTACTCAAGTGGACTTAACGGATAGAGGATGGGAAAAACACTGGAAAATATTAAAACCAGAAAACGGCTTTATATTGATCATTTTTATTTGGTAAAAGGAACTCAATTAAGCAGGAAAAGTTACTTAGTTCAAGATACGAGAGATGTCCTTAAAAAATAGACGTTGTGTATGCTACATCGTGGTTTTTGACACTAAAAATGAAAGTTAAAAATGTACAAAGAGAGAGAGAGAGATGACATAATTTTGAATCTATTTATCACTGAAATTCATAAGGAAAATGTTCCTCGAAGTGGAGAGGCATTTGCAACCAACAATTTTTAAATTATCTTTGGCAAGTAAGAAATTATGTTACAACACTGGTGCCTGTAAAGTTCGTGTAATTAGGGTTAACCTCTCCCTCAAACGTTCTTTTTGATTCTTGAGGTGCTGTTCCAACCTCAACGCCTCTTTCAATAGCTCGTCAAGTCTTGCGGGACAAAACCCTTCAAAAGCCTCGCCCTCTCTGAAAACATGAGGAAAAAAACAAAACGAGACCCATGTATTAATCTACCTTTTTCAACGCTTATACCTTGACGGTTCTCTGAGTTTTCCTACTGAATTGGCTGCTGTCATTTTACATAAATTACTGCAACGAGTACTTACGCAAAAGGCTGTGCCCATTTTAAATAAATCATTTTCATATCTTGTCCAAGGTCTGTGGCATTAAGAAAAAAATAACGTTAATGTCGATTTAGAAGTTTCGTTTACACCCGTGTTAGCTTATGTTAGAAGCGGCCCGGCCAATTTCATATAAAAGGGAGCGATTCCGAGAATCGTGTGTCCGTGACTTGGGTTTTATAGGACACAGCAAGATCTTTCCGTTGATATTTTGGTCCCCAACTACTTTTTTCCTCCCTTCAAACTTAGTTAGTTAAGGAGACTGGTTATGAAAGTAGGCAAACATCAGAGATAAAAATAACAGTGCTACATTATATGTTGGGAGCTCCCTGTTGGTGCACATGCAATTCTTTATTTTTTTGTTCACAAATGTGACTGAATAAATTAATGCGGCGTTTATATTGGTCAATAGAATCAAAATGATAGGAATGCTATTGAACGTTGTGCACCACGAAAGTCCACAAAAACACATAACAAAGGAGTTAACATTTCTTTAGGCTATGAAACCGGATGTCTTACGTAACTATTAGCTTCTAACAATTTAGGCCTGAAGAATTTAACTGGGCTGACTTTAACGTCAAACGCCAGGCGTTAGCCGTTTTGTCCAGCATTAAGATTTAACCGACTGCGCTGGCGGATCTAGGGGAAGGGCTTGAGGGGCCCGGGCTCCCGGCTCCCGGCCCTCGGTTTTATATTTAGGCCAGGCCTAAGTGAAGGCCGCTGGACCGATAAAAATTGGAGAGGTTTAGAGTTACGTTTACGGAAAACGATAAACTTGAGGTTTTCTCAAAATGGAAAATAAGCAGATAAAAACAGTCCAAAACGATTCTTATGGACAAACTAACGAAGAACTACTGATATTTTTGGAACATTAATGAACAGTAAACGAAAAGTAAGAAGAAAACTTGGCACGAATTGACTTTTGCCGTTTGCCTTAAACGTGACTCTAAATCTCTTTATTATATTTGAGACCTTACACTTTCTTTAAATTCAACCCGCAGTGTTAATACGGGCACTTCAGTTCTATGCCCCCCGCCCCCCTCCTCAATGTCCGTATCAATGGAGTTTGACTGTACCATTGTTTTATTCACATATTTAGACATTGTATCGCGAGTTTTTTGCAAGGGGGCTAACATGATCAGTCCTGGTAACCTGTTTTTGTTTGTCGTACTCGTTAGTTTGGGTTTTTGTTGTTGCTTAGCCCGCGTAGTAACAACCTTGCGGCAAAAACTGAGATATTTTCTTGTTGCTGTTGTGTTGTGACGTGCCAGCTTTAAGAACAAAGTACGCTGAAATCACCTCGTAATACTGATTCAAGCCTCGCTTTGTCATCGCTACCTCCTAAATGACTGTTATCCTGGTGCATGAAAGACCCTGTTTTAGTAGAAAGAAGTGAAATGGATTTTAAAAAATAAGTTGCGATATTAAAGCTTGTATCATGTAAAAGAGACCCAAAGTTTCTCTTACTCGATTTTATCTTTCTGGGGAGATTATTCAAGGCCGGGACGGTCTTGTTGTCATTTAAGCGCGGAAGAGATGTAAAAGTGAATAGCACACAAATTCAATCTTATCAACCAAATACCAGCATCTCAACAACGGCCATTCATCACATATGTATACAGCTCGGGCTGTACAAAGTAATATCAGACTCACTTATGCTGTGAACAATTTAGGTTAAACAGAAATGTTTCATCTTTTTATACCCCAAGATTGGTGTCTCGTCACATCGCTACTTCCTGGTATTCAAAATAAACAGCATCAACAACGGTCGCTTAGACATCTGTCCACAAGGCTGTGACCATTGTGGAGAGTCTAGCTGCTAGGTAACAGGGTCTGAAAGTGGAAGTGGGGCGGGGGGGTGGGGGGGGGTTCTGATCCCGGCAAACCCACATCCCGAACGTCTGCCATCTCTATCTCGAATATCGTTTTCTTCCAATACCGCATCCATGCTAAGATTTCGACGAATCCCGCCTCCCGAGAAGCGGTCAAATGCCGTATCCCGTAAATGAATTTTGCATTTTCTCGAATTCCGTGTTTTGTTTCGGGTGAAATCCCGGATCTCGAGATTACCTTCCAAACCCTCTCGTTAGACGTCAGGTTTCATGTGGAGGTATGACTGTATATTATATTTAGTCCAGAGATAGGGTTTTCCTTACCTCCTTGCTCTGTATGCGATCCAGTTTGAGCGGAAGGACTCATTGTATTATTTTGATTGCGTTCTTGTCCTGGTAACTTAAGAAAAGAAAAGAAGTAAAACAAATTCGCACACTAATACATCATCATCATCATCATCATCATCAAACAAAAACAACAATAACAATTATTTTTCAAAAGTAGGTTGAGTTTGATCGTCCCGGTGAACGAAACACAGCTAATAAATAATTACATCTCCCCACAAATAGCAAAGGAGTCACCTGATTCGAGTAGTTGGACCACAATAAAATAACATCAAATAAAGAAAGAAGAGATTCTAGAGATGGCTAGAGATTCTGACACTTTTTCTTCTGTTGAAAAGCATTTCTTGGTTAATCTTCTGCATTTTTTTAATAGCACCCAATCATCAAATTGTAGACAAAATGATACTGAATTTGATTTTTCAGCTCCCATATTGAATTCAAATTCAGTTTCTCAGTTATCCCTGGTCCAGATTCAAGTTGTTTATTTAGTTAACTACTCCATTTTTATAAAGGCAAGGTGCATGTAAAAGCGAAGGGGCCTTCATGGTACGTGTTGTCTCAGAAGCTGAACAGAAGAAAAAGAAACACGAAAGTTTGGCTAATCGTAGCAGAATGGTTTTATTGATGTGAATACTGTGATCTACAGATACCTAAATAAATAAACAAATAGCAATTAAGTTCACTGGAAAATAGAAGTTACCCGTTGGGAAGGGAAGATAGAGCCTGTACAGCTCGAAACAAAGGTGTTGAAATTAACCTTAATTATTTATAAGCATTTTGAATCAGTCTTACGTGTGTTGAATGCATTCCCTTGTGCTTCTTGGGTGGACCTGGTTGAATAAATGCCTCGCCATTTCGTGGATGTCCTTTATTATCGTGTTGTGCTGTCCTCTTTCGTGGCTCCGGCGGACTACGATTCCCAGCGGCTTGTTGGAAGCTCATATTTGTACCAAAGTCTAACTGAAACTCGCTGCTGCTACAAGCATCTTCAGGTTTCAAGGCCATTTAACACTAAAAGCAGTTCAGGTAGCGGCCAAGCCTACAGCAAGAAGATAAAAAGAGACCTGACAACTTTATGCCAAAAATTATCCAGTGAAGGCTAATACGACGGCAATGAGTTTAACATCGTTAACAGGATATGCTTTTGCAAAAAATAGCCGAAAAACAACGAAAAAAAGAACGTAAGCGGTGCAACCTTACCGTTTTGTTGAAAAAAAGTTTTTTGTGTCTTCAAAAACCTGGAAGTTTGCTGAGCGCGAGGATACTGACGTCATTCTTTATTTTCCCGCCAAATTTGCGCGGGTCGCCAAATGCAAAGTGGAGCGATCGTTGATGTGGACGGTTGAAACGAAGGCAGCGATGACTTGATTTTCGTTGCTTTTAGAGCGTCAATTAAAAAGGGCAATCAGACAGGGCATGTCCAGCAAAACTCTCAGTTTGGTTAGGGTTAGGGTTTGGCGCACAATGGCATTCATTGACTGGTATACATTGATGGAGCGAGGGGATGGGTTGGGGAGCAGAGATAACGCGCCTTTAGCACAAAGATGACCTACTGTAAAGGGTACAGATAAAATTTCACGCCTCAAGATATTTTTTTGCACATTGCGCCTAAACTGAGGTAATCTAACGGAACCCACAGGTCGTCCTGACTTACTATCACTGTTGTGGCCAATTTCTTACTAAGTTACATTGCAAGAAAGCTGGAATTGTGATTTCGATCTCGATCTTTTCAGCCAAATACAATGTAAGTTTGACGATCTAAGCAAACATGAGGAAGCCATCCTTTAAGTAACACACAAACACCAAAGATCACTTTCGGTTAAACATAATTTTATTCTCTCCATTTTGAGAGTCAAACCAAAACAGAACAGGGGAAGCGATAACAGTTCAAATTCAACAGATTTCAAGTTACTGATAAGAGGAGAAACAGAATGATCATGTCAAAAGCCCCAGCTAAACTATCAAACACTTNGTTTGACGATCTAAGCAAACATGAGGAAGCCATCCTTTAAGTAACACACAAACACCAAAGATCACTTTCGGTTAAACATAATTTTATTCTCTCCATTTTGAGAGTCAAACCAAAACAGAACAGGGGAAGCGATAACAGTTCAAATTCAACAGATTTCAAGTTACTGATAAGAGGAGAAACAGAATGATCATGTCAAAAGCCCCAGCTAAACTATCAAACACTTTACGCATGTTGGTCACACACAATAACCTCAGTTTGACCAAACACCACAAACACGGAACAAAGAGGGTCCACATGCCGCTTTGAGCAGATTACCGCTCAACTCAAACGTTTGCTCGTAAAAGAATGTTGGATACAAATGCTTGATCTAGATCAAAAGCCATTTCAGTGCAAAGTTATCAGCAGAGATTACTAAAACGACCAAACGTGCTCGGCTATCTAAAATTCTTCAAGCATGTCGCTGGACAGAAATGTTTGATTTCATAGCCGGGGTTTGACTTTTTTTTAAAAAAGGAATTAGCTGTGGTCTCAACGTTAACTTTTATATTCGCATTTTAAGACGTTTACGCCTCTTTGATTGCAATAAGCTGTTGCGTTCACGAACGTTACCTTCCAAGAAACCGCGCGAATCTTCAACGCCACATTACACAGCGAACTTTGCATAACTGTGCTAGCAAATACTACCAGTTTCGCTTAAGACCACAGACATCTCTTTAGAAATTAGCGCAAGACCAAGGTAAATCTCTATAAATAGTCAGTCAGGGAGTTAGTATTATGATAGGAAGAATGTAGACAGCGTGCAGCATCTCTTTTGCTCGAATCTGTGAGCGAGTGCAGGCTCGTACTCGCTCCCGCACAACTCGATACTCGCGGTATACTCACGTATCGTGCTCGCACACAAATTTTCGAGCAAAAGAGAGACTGCTCGCAGTCTAGGAAAAATGTAATAGTATATCCAGTTAGTAGAATAGTATAGTAAGTTTAACCCCATTGATTTGATTGGCCCGATAGATAAACGAGCCTAAATTATTCCTAGTCTTTTTTTCCCTCGTCGACTTCTTTCGACTCTTCATACAATTTTAAAGTTGCTGAAAACGAAAATCGTTACCTACGTCATGGGAACGGTTTTTTAACTGAGCACTATAAATCCTAAGGCGATTAATAGGTAATGCTACGCAGTAAATACAATATTATAACGAACAAGCTGTTGTTTTGTTTTTTCCCTATATGTCGTTTGGAGTACTTTCCCGCGTAAGCCATGTGCTTTTCCCCGCGAAGTTACGAGTTGCGGGTTTTGCAAGTCAGGTGATGTTGCTTTGATTTCAAATTTCGTCTCAATTACAGGCACATGCACGCATAATTTATAAAACGACAAAGGACAAATTCCTTTGAGAACATCGCAGAAGTCAAACATACAACCTAACTACACGTCTGTTGGTTGGTATCAATAAATGTTTAAGACGAGCTACATTCGGACAGATTAGGTTTAAAATTCAGTTAAAAATACCGTTCTGCCATAAATCTAAAATAGATTCTTACAAACCTCGTTAAATGCGGTCATTTTCGTTCAACCTTTCAGTTCTCGGCAAACAGAAAGAGCTGTCCCTTTGACGACGACTTTGCACGGTAGTTAAAGATCGAACGAGACGCAAGCGCTCTCTGTTCAAGTCAAACTAAACTGTTTCAAGAAAAATATAAATAAAAATAATTGTTGTTTGTGCCACTGAATTCATATAATATTATATAATTTTGCTAATACTTTTTGGGTAATAACGAGTGACGGTTCGAGACGGTGGACGACATCAAAGGCATCAATGCACTTTTTTGAGAATATGCGACGATCTTGGGACCAGTATTTCGAAAGGCATCCAGAGTCTTTCTTTTACTTACTCACAAAAGGAGGCTCTGATTGCGGGATGAAAGCAGTGTCCACTTTTTTACAGAAGGACGCCTGGNGTCGTTTGGAGTACTTTCCCGCGTAAGCCATGTGCTTTTCCCCGCGAAGTTACGAGTTGCGGGTTTTGCAAGTCAGGTGATGTTGCTTTGATTTCAAATTTCGTCTCAATTACAGGCACATGCACGCATAATTTATAAAACGACAAAGGACAAATTCCTTTGAGAACATCGCAGAAGTCAAACATACAACCTAACTACACGTCTGTTGGTTGGTATCAATAAATGTTTAAGACGAGCTACATTCGGACAGATTAGGTTTAAAATTCAGTTAAAAATACCGTTCTGCCATAAATCTAAAATAGATTCTTACAAACCTCGTTAAATGCGGTCATTTTCGTTCAACCTTTCAGTTCTCGGCAAACAGAAAGAGCTGTCCCTTTGACGACGACTTTGCACGGTAGTTAAAGATCGAACGAGACGCAAGCGCTCTCTGTTCAAGTCAAACTAAACTGTTTCAAGAAAAATATAAATAAAAATAATTGTTGTTTGTGCCACTGAATTCATATAATATTATATAATTTTGCTAATACTTTTTGGGTAATAACGAGTGACGGTTCGAGACGGTGGACGACATCAAAGGCATCAATGCACTTTTTTGAGAATATGCGACGATCTTGGGACCAGTATTTCGAAAGGCATCCAGAGTCTTTCTTTTACTTACTCACAAAAGGAGGCTCTGATTGCGGGATGAAAGCAGTGTCCACTTTTTTACAGAAGGACGCCTGGTCCGGGTTGTTCAAAGCTGGGTTAAGATAACCCAGGGTTTGTGCGAAATTTGAATTCTTTTTGTCAGCAAGTTGATGATTGGATGCTCTTAAAAATAAGAGGGAAAATTATCCGAGAAAATGTTTTTGAGAAAATTTAACCCTGGGTAATCGCTAATCGGCCTTCGAACAACTGGGCCCTGAACAACAATTTGTATAATGATACACGGCTTCAGTTGTCTCTATGGCTGGCTTTGACTCAGCAGCCGTCAAACGTTTTTGAGAAACAACTGAAATATCACGAAAACTGAAAAACTTTCATGGAGTACTCAAGCTCCTTGTTCCCAATAAATCACGTAAGCAACTACAAACCGTATTGACAAGGTTTGCTAAATTTTTATGCAGTGTGACGACTGAAGGTTGGATAAAAATTCTTCAACTAAAATTTCAAAGACGACATAATGTCTGTTTTCGCCCACGGGAAACAATCTGTTGTCAGACTATTTGCAGCAGCTCATAGATAAAGGAAGTAGTTGTTTTACGTGTTTCCATTATTAAACATATACACCGAAAATTAGTATGATTAGCAAGTATGACGACGCTAATATCATACAATTATAACAAATTTAAAATTTTCACTAGATTCGAGATAAAACATTCTTCCATTGAAGACAAACAAAATGACATTTACAACTTAAGGTGCAGTAATACGGGCAACATATTCGTGCAACTTTTCTCGAGCAACATTGAAGAGCGATGCTGCTCGGTTTGCCACACGCGTTAGTAACTTGTTGAGCAACAATTATTTGCTGTTGCAGGTTGAACACAGTGAAAAGCTCAAGTCTAATTGTTGCTCGGGCGGGTTGCAAAAAACAAAAAAAAACAAAAACAATCTCTCTCTCCATGTTACGCAACAATGTTGCTAGAAAAGTTGCGCGCGGGAATTTGTTGCCTGTATTATCGATTGAACGCAACAAATGTTGCAAACATACTAAAACTATCACGAGGCTGCCACGCAAGCCTACATAATTTTCCATAAACATACCAAATTTATGGGAAAGAACTTTGATACAATAAATACTATCTATACACTTAGATGTCTGTCCCTGATTACGAACAAAACCTAAAATGAAAAGACCGGGACAAATGTTATAGAGAGGGAAAGATGTTCTTCATCGAGTGTGACAAACGCGTGACAACATTTGCGTGACTCGTGAACTATGTGAATGAGAAACAATCCTCGAGTCGTGTCGAGGGCTCCAAATTTGGTCAGTGTTTCATAATTTTCTAAGCCAACATGATATATTTTTGTGATACGAACATAACCTTATCAAAATAAAACCTTTACCATTTTATAAAAATTATATATAAATAAATGAATTTCTCATCAAAATTAAGTCCTGACCTACTCTGTAGATTTCGCTACAACTTATAACAAGAATTGGATTCATTCAATTATTGTATTATTAACAGTATTATTGTAAACCAACATCTTAAAGAACCAAACCATTTTGAATGGCCAAATTAAAATGTCCAGCAGATAAAACTAAAATGGTACACAGTGCTGACTGTAGTGAGTGTAGAAGTTACTTGGCAAGAGCTTGGAGGATGGCATTCACTTCTTCAGCAACCGCTGTCAGTGCAAACTCAAACTGGGCCTAAAAAGAACAAAATAACAATATCTTAACCATTTAAGCCCCAATATCAACATACAGATTCTTCAAACTTGTCCCCATACATTTCGCTACATATGGCCTATACCCTAAAATGGACTATGCCGCCTAAGTCTAGTGATTAGGGTTAGCAAACTGAGTAATCAGATTCCATTTAGGTTCATTATACTTAGAAATCTGACCTCAAACTTGATTCACTCAGTTTTCTAACCTTTATCACTAAACTTTAGGGCCCAGTTATTCAAAAGGTGGATAACGCGATCCAGTGGATAGCGCAATCGGTTTTCTTAATACTTATCCGCTGGATAGTGGTTTATCTGGCCCGGGTTGCTCGAAGCATGGTTAGTGCTAACCAGCGTTAAATACCATGGAAACCTATACATTTTGATACCTCTTAACCAACGGTTAGCGCTAACCAGGCTTCGAGCAACTGGCCCCTGATGGATAGCGATGTCCAACGTTTGAACAACCATGGCCAGGGGCATAGTCCACTTTAGAGTAGTCTATATGGGTAGTCCATGGACTGGGGGTCAGTGTTTTGTCCACTACCTGCAATCTTGCCACTTGTCCAGCATCACAACAGAGGTGTTTCCACAACGAATCATCAAAACAATCCAGGCAACGGATTCCGGGCAACCCCAGCACTTAATAACTGATTAAAGCTGTTGCTGATATCTCAGAATAACCACTTCAAACTGTTCAAGAACACAGAAGTAATCCTAACGTTCGTTACCTTAGTTTTAACCATTGATGGTCTCTGGTCACGCAGGTGCTCAACTGTAGCAGCAATATCAATTTCTTTAGCACCTGTGAATTAAGTCAAGGACAGTCTCACCAATGTCATGCAACTTCTAGCTGTTGTTTGCTTAACAACCCTTCATATGTAATTTCATGACTAGAGATTGATGCACATACCGAAAGAATACAATATTATTGTAATAATACTCATTGAACACTGTTTGCCAGTTTCACTAGGCGATGTGCCTTAGTTAAAATCTAAAGAGCTTCTGTGACAATTACTTGATGGACGTGTTCACTTGATTGCGGTTAAAATTCCTATTTGGAATTCTTCTTTGCATTGTTTCTTGGAGGGTGTTGTACTTAGTAGTTTTTTGGCTCCCAAATGCAGTGCTCATTCAAGTAAGTACAATAGTGTTGTTTCTCTTAGGTACCAGACCGCTTTTGAGTTAAGTTTCTGAAGGTACCCAATAAAAGCAGATCAGCTGATCCTCATAAGCTTTTAAATGTCATAATAATATGGTAAAACGCTCGCTAAAACTACTCTTTGCAACTGTCTGTGAACACAAGTTTAATCAAAACTTAAAGACATGCACTTGCAGTTAAGTTACTATAGAGCGTTTTCAGTCACGTGGCCAGCATCTATGCTAATTTATTGGAACAAAAGAAAGTTTTTGCATAAGAAAAGAGTTCAACTTCCACAGGATTGGTTTGCAACACCAACATGGCCGTCGTTTCATTGTTTAGGAACACCAATATGACCGTCGTGATGTCATGTGAAAACACTCTATAGCAGAGTAATAATGAAAAAGTGCGCATGCATGTCAAGGTTCGATAAACAATAGACTGTCATATGGAAAACAACTTGAAAAAATTGAGCCAACGTTTTCATGTTCAACACTTGCCCTTGTCGAATTCAGAATTATTTTAAGTAAGACTAAACCAACATTTTTGGGTTTCTTTGATTTCAAACGTGTTTCCAGAGTGTGTTTCTAGCAATCACAAAAATTCTGGTTCAAACTCCTTTAACTTAATAATTAAACGTTTTTTTTAATCAGTAATCCACTGCACTGACCTCGCATCATCTTGTTCAGCACCATGTCAATGAGTATGTAGGTTCCAGTCCTCCCTACTCCACCACTGCAGTGAACAACAACTGGAGAGGCTCGGCCTCTGAAGCACTTGTTCACTTTTCTAAAGAATAACATATCCTTTGATTATAACACAGTTGAACCCCTGTTACCCTGGTCCCAGAGCTTTTTCATGAAATTTTTCTTCGCGAAAGAGAGAGCAAGCCCAAAGTGGCAACAACGAGTTGATTTGCAGCTCACTCTCTCTTTAGTGATGAAAAATTTAGAGAAAAACCTCTGGGACCAAGGTAAACCCCTGCAAGTATCCACTCAAAATGAATAGAGTCAAAGGCTGCTTACAAATTGAAAGTCAAAACTAAAGGGAGACATCAGGACTCATCTACTTTTTGGAAAAGAATTTATTGCAAGCAATTTCTTCGTTAGGTAACATGTAGTTCTGTGTCGTCGGTAAAAGTTCTAAGTATAACGTAACGTAAGTGTCAAGCAAGTGGCTGTGTACAAGAGGATAAATGACAAATTTAAAGAAAGACGTCATTACCTGTGAATACAGCCATCTCCGTTTGTTCTTCACGACAAGGAGCAAAGAGAGATGGCTGTAATGCCATGATAAGTTGTCATTGGGTGCTTTAAAATAATTGTGGCGTCTGAGATTCATTAATTTTGATAAGTAACAGTGAGGGTGCTAGCTAAGTGAGCTGAAGAAAAGCGCACGGAAGCAGCCAAGAAAAAACAGGTAATAATCAATGGCATCAAGGGGGATGTCAAGGTCATTACTAGTGCTGACGGAAGAACAACACTACTCTGTGAACAAGTCACTTCCTTACAACTCTTACCGTCTGAATTCCAGAAGCGGCTTAGGAGTAGCAGGAACATTAAGATCCGGCCAAGTGAGAAAGTGGAATTGCGTAACAGTTCTTGTTTCACTAGTCTGCAAGATGGGAAAACAAACAGGATACATTGAAATAAAGGTTAATCACTTAAAACTACCTTAACAAAGCAAGCCGGGGGTGCAAAGAAAGTCGGTTTTATGGCTTGCTATTCGGGCAAATTGTTTCTAGTAGGTACTAGCCCAGGAGTCTTTTAAGTAGCCCCCCCCAAATTTTTTGATGAGCAGCATGGTTACAGTTCTTCTGTAATTTGAATTTCCCAAAAATACTTCACTTGCCAGTTGGGCACTGAAGTTAAGAACAGAATTCACTAACCCGATAGCAAAATCTACTAGCCCCAGGCTACTGGACACGACTTTCTTTGCATGCTGGCATAGCATGTATATTTTTAAATCACCATTCCCTGTTAAGTACCGTGGAACTCATTATTTCATAAGAAAAAAATATAATGCTCATTAGTATGACCATGTGTATACCTGTAGGTTTTTCAAGTAAAAACTTCTCACTAGGTAATCTTCACACCATATATGCTCCGAGACAAGGTGAACCTGAATTGTGAACACAAGACATTTAGGGTTGATGCAGATTAAACTATATCAACATTTGCGCAAGAAAGCATGGCAAATCATAAGGTTTATGTTAACTTATGGCAACTTACCTCATAAATACGATATGTGACAATTGGCTGCTGCTCCTCGGGCCAGTATCGATGGCATTGGGGCTATAAAAGAAAAATTTCAATGGTTTAATTTCTAATCCTTTAATTGCACTCGACACAGAATTTGAAATCTTAGAAGAAGTTATAAAAATAATTAATATCAATAACAATTTGAAACTGGCCATTAAAAGTGACAGAGGACAGCACTTACCAATCCAAGATCTGAAAGCTTAGTCAAGTTAACAATAACTACCACGCCTTGTTCCCACACCATCTGAAAGGGCAACAAAATGAAACGGGTTATAAAACTGAATGAAAATAATTGAAGGCTTGTTAGCTCAACTGGATAAGCACAAGCTCTGTGAGTGGGAGGCTGTATGTAGGTTCAAACCCCGGCCAGACCAACACCCCAGATCTTAAAAATAACTGAGGAGAAAGCAATGCTTTGTCATGATATTTGCAAATGGTTAGACTTTCTGTAGTCTTCCTGGATAAGGACATTGAACTGTAAGCCCTGTCTCACAATCCTTGTACATATAATAAATTCTGTGGGACATTGAAGAACCCAAACACTGTTTGTAAAGAGTAGGGACATAGTCCCGGGTCAAATTCAAACTCATTCCTTCATTACTTGTAAACTGCACCATGAGCAGTCTGGCAAAAGTCCCCCAACCAGTGTTGTAAATTGGCCCTGAAAAGCTCTGGGGGAGTGGATAATAAGATATTTACAATTTAAAATTTACAATGCTCATAGCATAACACCCTACCTGCCAGAAATCTGACACTGTTTGAGCTAGGGGTCCCTGTGTTGCAATGTAAGAAGGATTCTTGGGATCATGGTCCATCTGTTGAGAGTCACATGTAATGTGAGTACACACCACAATAAAACAAAGCAAGCCATTCAATGCCAAAGTCATGATGAAACAACAATATTTGAAGCATGGAATGGCGTATCACACCATGATAAATTCTTACAACAAGACGTGGAGGATCTAGTGCTTGACATAAGGGCAAGGTTCTCTCTCTGACTCAAATGAAGCTTCTTGTGGCCATAATCTTGAAGGAGGGGAGGGATAGCGGGTATGGTTCCCACCCCTACAATCATGGAAAAATGTCTCTTGACTATTTGTATTTCTGGACCTTCTCTTGAATCACAAATGACCAACCTCTCCCCTCTCCCCACAAACAAGGTTGGATGCGTGAACATTACTTTGTTATAACTGGGTAACAAATGGATAAAACAAAGAGGAAAATTTGGAGTTTGATCACTTACAATATAGCTGGCATTGATGTAATCAGAACCAGTAGCACTTGCAGTCTCCTTCAGAAGAACCCTATTGTGGTCATCTGAAAAAATAACAAAAAATAAGAATATTTAAAGAGGGAGCCCAACTCGCCATGGTGGTTTTTAGTGGAGCCCTCATAGATTAACTAAATTAATTAATTATTTAATAGCTAAAGAGTAAAATTAACTCCTAAATTTAAAGGGTAAAAATCTTAAAATTGAAGTAACAAAGTTTAAAACTAGTTCAGGTTTTCTAAAAAGGTTTCTAGCTTGGATTTAAAAGTAGATTAAAAGACATGCTTCTTTCATATCTGGTGGAAGACTGTTCCAGTCTTTTGCAGAAAGATAGATAAATATTTGTTTTCCCCAGTTAGTTTGGGGTAGGAGTAATCAAAGATAATGTTGGAGTATCTTATTTACATGAATGAACCGCTTGACTTTTGATAAAATTAAAGTTAAAATCAGTTTCTCAGATAAGACGCTGCGGATTGCAATGCAATGATGAAAAGACCTTCTCGTAGAGAGTGGCTCGAGATCTAGACTCATTAGTGTTTTGGTTTTATGAGCTTCGAGAAAAAAACAGACACCAAAGTAGTTGGCTACAGCAATAGTTGGGCAACCACTTCGATTCACATTCTAAAACACTTTCCAAGTTTCAAACAAATCTAAATCTCGAACAGGATAAAACTTACATGGCAGCACATCACCGTAGCGATTCTTGCGAAGATTCTTCTCCATTTTCCCAACTTCTCTGCTATTAGGTTCAGCCTCATAAGTTTTTAAAGCCTACAGAAGAAATCAAAATTATCATTATGCCTCTAAGCCCTAAATAAATTCACAAGTAAAATAACAAGTTATCTGTCCCTGCTTTGACCTGACAGTACAGTATCGAGGAAGGATTGCGGCATCAAGATGAGGACCATATTTTGGAATAAGACTATGCAAAGTTTTTAGAATAGAATAGAATAATTTATTTAATGTCGAAGACGTGGGAGGCGTTTGCACAATCTTCTGAGCCAGAGGCTCCATCAGTTTTACTATGACCTTTGAACCATGAATACACTACAGATATCAGAATATGTTATTTTAAACAGACATCTACATATTGCAATGCAATGTATGCCAAAACAAGTGATCCCTAGATCATGTTTATTCCATTTCTCGTATTCCATAAAAATTATGCTGTCAATTGAACACAACCTTAAAATGCAAAATTAAGCCCACAGAATACTAGTAACAATATCATGGGCATTGGGACATACTGATGGTGGTTGGACATAGTTAACATTGACCTAATAAACTGTTGTAAGCCTCCTTCAAAAGAAATCTTGGTTCCCACAAGTCAAAATCAAGGCAGTCACCCAAACAGATGTTTCATCATGGACCAGAGGTCATGCTGTATTTGAAAAAAGAAAAAAGAAACTCATTCCAATACTTGCCTCCCATTCTTTGTTTAGCCGGTCCTTATTGTTAAGGTGATCTTCCATGTAGGCCTAATGAGAGAGAAAGGCAAAATTATTTTAGTTATTCCTCAGTATGGTGCATAGGCAATGCTCATATTCAAATATTTGCACTTGTGTTATGATATAATTTTAAGGTTAGTCCTTATATTTATGTCCAGGTTCGTTACTTATAACAAGGAAAACAGGAAACCACCAGTTATCCTACACATTATCACCTTTGTTACCAACAACTGATGAGTACACTTACCAAAACCACATGACCAGTGGAAATGTCCATATTTGGGACAACAGGCTCCTCACTCCTGAAACAGAATAATTAATAATGTATTTTTAATTATCAGGCCAATGATAAGAACGGAAAAAATCCAACTTACTGGAATCATTATACATTTCTGGAAGTTGCATTCACAGTTTTACATACCAGGAGTATTTGGGAGCACGTCCACTTCCCAGTCCCTTTTCTTTTTCAGCAGCATGCTGTGTGGGTGTAGTCTTAACAGGTGCACTGTCCCAACCTTGAGTGGCACGCAGTTGACGACAAAGTTCCTATAAAAAGTGACAAAGCTTGTTAAAATAACAGCCATGCAGCCATAATTTTTCACCCTTAAACCCATACATGACTGATTTAGGATGAGTTGTAACCCTTACATCTTGTATAAATGGCACATTATTTCGCCAATTTCAGATATCAGGAACTGGCAACCAAATCGAATTCTAATGTGTGACATCGTAAAAAATTAAATTTGTGACTTGAGTCTGAATGTTTAGACCCAAGTCAAATTTAGAAGGATTTGTGTGGAGTCATCAGAGGATAACTGGGCTAATGTTCATACATAGTTGAGAAAGTTTAATAAAAGATCAAAGCACTTTCTCTTTGGTGATCATTTGATTGATTCTCGTAACAATTTCTCTTGACATTGTATGGATATTGTTAAAAGAAAATTGATGATGGTCACTACTGGGACTTAAAAGGTTATGTAACTGGCACCCTGAATGTTCTGAAACCATATAATCCAGGGTGCTCTGCATCAGATTTTCATTCTCCTAGTCACCCAAGAGCAAAAGTATGGTACCAGGGTTCATCAACAGCGGCTAGAGTCCTTATAATTGCAGTACTAACACAATAAATGCATTCTCCAATACATCTTTGTCTTCTGTTGGATGGGTAAATTAACGGTTCAAATCATTTTACCTGGTAGTCTGCAGCGGCTTCCTGACCAGGAAGAGTGACTGGCTTGAAACCCTTTGTTTCTTTGTGCCTGACAAAAAAATTTGAAAAACAATGAGGGTTACCTAATAAAAACGAAGAATAGATGGTGGATGGTATTGTACAAATAGAAGAAACAGAAACAAAAATAGGCTTATCAAAAGGAATTGATGAGTTGAACTGCCAAACAGAAAGACAGATTCAAAAGCTGATGTTTTGAGCAGTAGCAGTTAATCTTATTTGCACTAACAAAGGGAAAGTGATTTAGATGCTGGAAGCCCTCGAGCTTTGTTGTTATTAAACTTTGACCCTTCAAGTGTAATATGTTCATAGCTTTACATTAAGACATGCGCACTGTAAGAATCCTGGGGGATTAAACATGGCAGATTGATGAATACTTGATGTTGTCTCTTGTCCTGTTTCAGAGACATTTGGGACACTGAAAATCCCATTCAGATAGACACAACAAACACTTTCAGGGTTGTACTTTTAGAAGCAATAACAATGATGACAGCAGTGAAAACAAAAAAAATGTGCCCTTTGAAACTTAATTGTGTCTACATAAACCCCTTTGATTTGTCAAATGAAGGTGATTTTTTCTGGAGTTGAATTCTGAAGGACTGTATCAAGGTTCAAAACAAGAGAAGGAAAAGACCTGTCTGTCATATGTTCACTTCCTCTATAAAATGTCAGGGTGTAGTCATGCAGTGGATGTCAAGGAAATGCACTAAACAGCGTGATGCATGTGCAGAGCTGTTGTTTTGCTCAAAGAACCAATTGTTTTTTTGACGTTTTCGTTGTTGTGGTTTCTTAAGCTTCCTAGTACCCTTTGCTCTCCAGAAGGATGAGCCTGTCATACCTTCTCATCATCAGGTAAATTGCAACTGCTGTCAACACAACTCCGGTCACACAACCAACAACAATGATAGTGATAAGGAAATACTTTGGCTGCTGTGTTTCCACTGACGTCTTAGGCCGTCCACTTTTCACATTTTTGCTCTGCAAGTAATAAAGAAGCACTTTCCATTAGAATTTGGACACAGAGTCTTCTGACCAAAAGGGTCCTGTCTCACAGCACTTTGACTTATATGGTTCTTGTGAGAAGTAAAAGAACCCACAGCACGGTTCAAATTAAAAAAGGTAGGGGCCGTAGACCCCAGTGGCGTGGGTAACCACTCCTTGGCTGGGTGAGCTGCCTGTAAGGAGAGAACTTCATATAGGAATAACCTCATGATCCTTCTTTAGGTGTCGTAATGGCTACTTGTAAACAGTGTACATGTATGACTCAGAAATTTTTTTGACAAAGCAGCAAAAACAGAGGCAGCTGAATATGGTGAAATCCCTGATTATCTGAAATTCTTTGGAAAGTGAAAAGACAGTTTGATCCTTTGAGTGAGGGAATAAATTAATACTTTGTTCCAGTGTTCAGAAGAACATATCGAGAAAATTAAAAATCAAGCAGACCAAAACTACAAGAGATTAATCTAAACTAAATAGTGAGAAAAAATCTTGTAAATCAGTTTGAAATTAGATAATAATATATAATCTTATATTTTAAAAAAGAAAAATTACAGTGTTGTTCAAAAAACACTTTAAACTTAAAAATTAAATAATTAAAATTATTATAAAAGTAGTGAATAAAACTAAATTTCTCTGATTTACATCATGATCTCTAAATTCATCTTTGAATAGAAACAAAATTTCCAACAAAAGTCTCTTCGCTCACACAACAAAAAACAAGTTAAAACTGAAATTAAATACCTGTTTCACAATTGCCTAGGAAGGAAACACTTGTTTGAAATGCGGAAAAAAGCATAGTATACAAAATAATACCCAGGATTGGGAAAATTACAATAATTATTGTGAAGAGGATTTCTCTATTTGATGTCAAAAGAAATCAAGATTAGAAAAAACACATCTTACATCTTGTTGAATTTCAATAAGCTAGGAAGAAAATAAATTCAACTGAACTACACAGAAATACTCACATAAATTTAGCACATAAGTCTTATTCTTCACCAAGACTAGGCAGTAATAGTGTTTCAGTCAATCACAGGCTTCTTTGTGATGTATTATTCACAATAAGAAATGAAAGCTTTCTGCTAAATTCATAATTAATTCATATGACAGCACTTGAATAGTTTATGAGCTATTCCCATATATGGTAACTGATTGATGAATGCTTTAAATAGCTTGTTCTTTAAAGTAAAATTTAAGTTTTATTGAGTTACACAAAATCACACAATAGATTCATGTTCAACCTGCAGTTCTTGAAAAATATCCAAGCAGAAAAGTTTGAAAATATTTAAAAGTTCTTCAAATCAATCTTTGTTAAGTGTAGGTTTTAGAGCTAAAAATAATAACTTTTAGGGCTTAACATATAATACTATGAAGGGAAAAAAATGTTGGTAAAAGACTAAAACAACGAAACAGGCTCTAAGGTTACCATAGAGACTTCTTCACCTAAACCCCCTAATAACTCAAACTAAGTTCACTTTTCCATTGGCTCAATTTGTAGTTAAATTCAACCCATCAACTCAAACTCAAGTCAAGGTTTCACTATTTTTTTAAAAAAAAACTCCCTTAGGAGTTCAATTCACCTTAAAACCTAGCAGTGCCTAACTTAACAATGTATATTATTTCCCCTGACAGCATGAATATGGTACATCAAGCTCAAAGCTCCCAAAAATAAAAGAAATTGACAACTAAAGGAAGAACTTATTCCTCATTAATATCATAGGAAATCTATGGAGAATAGTCTAGAGACAAAAAACAATTTGCCATTGGGTTAATGCCCTGACAACACAACCCCACCCCTTCTCCCCTCTCTAACTTTCTTGAACTACGTCCAATTGCAAGGGAGGTTGAAGAGGAGGGGGGGGGGGGGGGAATTGAAAGAACAAGTTAACGTAGGTGCTTGTACGGGGTACTATTTTAATATTTACTGGGGTTTCTTCATAATCACCGCCTTTGATTTTCAGGCCACTATTCCGGGCAACTTATTCTTCCACCCGGGTTTTGGAAAAGAAAAGGAAAAAATCCAACTTACTGGAATCATTATACATTTCTGGAAGTTGCATTCACAGTTTTACATACCAGGAGTATTTGGGAGCACGTCCACTTCCCAGTCCCTTTTCTTTTTCAACACCATGTTGTGTGGGTGTAGTCTTTACAGGTGCACTGTCCCAACCTTGAGTGGCACGCAGTTGACGACAAAGTTCCTATAAAAAGTGACAAAGCTGGTTAAAAAAACAGCTATGCAGCCATAATCTTTCACCCTTAAAACCCATACATGACTGATTTAGGATGAGTTTTAACCCTTACATCTTGTATAAATGTCACATTATTTCGCCAATTTCAGATATCAGGAACTGGCAACCAAATTGAATTCTAATGTGTGACGTCATAAAAAATTTAATTTGTGACTTGAGTCTGAATGTTTAGACCCAAGTCAAATTTAGAAGGATTTGTGTGGAGTCATCAGAGCATAACTGGGCTAATATCTCAGAGACAATTTGCCCTGAAATGCTAATTTTTGTCAAGTAGGTGTCTTGTTCTTTTAGAATATCTTGACAAATCCCATAATTTCACAAATTTAATTTTTAGGATGTCATCACTTTAGAACTCTATTAAGACTCTATTAAGAGTTGTTTGTTTTTTTCACTTAGTGAAAAAAACAAACAACTCAAATAAAACAGCAAGTACAAAAGAATGCGTGGATGGATAAATTAATGAAGATTGAAATGGATTGAAAAAGATGAGTTCAGCCCAACATTTCTTCAAAGTTCATCTCTGTTGTAGGTGCCTTTGAATATTACCCTTAGGAGACATATCTTGTGACAAAACCGTGATTTTGGAATTTAGAAATTTCTTCACAAACATCAAGTTTCATAGCAGTGATTAGCAAAACCAAACAAAGTGGACTAAAGTGCTGTGAAATGGTCCCTTTTAAATAGATTAGATTTCAAGGCTGTTTAAGTGGGCTACAACAGTGCTACTACAGCTACTTTTAAAACCCATTCGGCCCTGAACAGCCTTGATTTGAGCATGGCTGTCTGGAAAAAAATAATTATTAACCCTTTAAGCCCCAATATCCACAACCAAATTTTCCACACTGATATTCATACATAGTTGAGAGAGTTTAATAAAAGATCACAGCATTTTCTCTATGGTGATCATTTGATTAATTCTTGTGACAATGTATGGATATTGTTAAAAGAAAATTGATGAAGCTCACTATTGGGACTTAAAGTGCTAACTGGCACCCTGAATGTTCTAAAAACCATATAATCCAGGGTGCTATGCATCAGATTTCCATTCTCCCAGTCACCCAAGAACAAAAGTATGGTACCAGGGTTCATTGACAGCTGCTAGAGTCCTTATAATTGCAGTACTAACACAATAAATGCATTCTCCAATACATCTTTGTCTTCTGTTGGATGGGTAAATTAATGGTTCAAATCATTTTACCTGGTAGTCTGCAGCGGCTTCCTGACCAGGAAGAGTGACTGGCTTGAAACCCTTTGTTTCTTTGTGCCTGACAAAAAAATTTGAAAAACAATGAGGGTTACCCAATAAAAACAAAGAATGGATGGTGGATGGTATTGTACAAATAGAAGAAACAAAAACAAAATTAGGCTTATAAAAAGATATTCACGAGTTGAACTGCCGACAGAAAGACAGATTCAAAAGCTGATGTTTTGAGCAGTAGCAGTCAATCTTATTTGCACTAACAAAGGGAAAGTGATTTAGATGCTGGAAGCCCTCGAGCTTTGTTGTTATTAAACTTTGACCCTTCAAGTGTAATATGTTCATAGTTTTACTTTGACCCTTCAAGTGTAATATGTTCATAGTTTTACATTAAGACATGCGCACTGTAAGAATCCTGGGGCATTAAACATGGCAGATTGATGAATACTTGATGTTGTCTCTTGTCCTCTTTCAGAGACATTTGGGACACTGAAAATCCCATTCAGATAGACACAACAAACACTTTCAGGGTTGTACTTTTAGAAGCAGGGAGCTTAAGCAATAACAACGATGACAGCAGTGAAAACAAAAAAAATGTGCCCTTTGAAACTTAATTGTGTCTACATAAACCCCTTCGATTTGTCAAATGAAGGTGATTTTTCCTGGAGTTGAATTCTGAAGGACTTTATCAAGGTTCAAAACAAGAGAAGGAAAAGACCTGTCTGTCATATGTTCACTTCCTCTATAAAATGTCAGGGTGTAGTCGTGCAGTGGATGTCAAGGAAATGCACTAAACAGCGTGATGCATGTGCAGAGCTGTTGTTTTGCTAAAAGAACCAATTGTTTTTTTGACGTTTTCGTTGTTGTGGTTTCTTAAGCTTTCTAGTACCCTTTGCTCTCCAGAAGGATGAGGCTGTCATACCTTCTCATCATCAGGTAAATTGCAACTGCTGTCAACACAACTCCGGTCACACAACCAACAACAATGATAGTGATAAGGAAATACTTTGGCTGCTGTGTTTCCACTGACGTCTTAGGCCGTCCACTTTTCACATTTTTGCTCTGCAAGTAATAAAGAAGCACTTTCCATTAGAATTTGGACACAGAGTCTTTCTGACCAAAAGGGTCCTGTCCCACAGCACTTTGACTTATATGGTTCTTGTGAGAGGTAAAAGAACCCACAGCACGGTTCAAATTAAAAAAGGTAGGGGCCCTAGACCCCAGTGGCTTGGGTCAGTGGTGTGGGTAACCACTCCTTGGCTGGGTGAGTTGCCTGTAAGGAGAGAACTTCATATAGGAATAACCTCATGATCCTTCTTTAGGTGTCGTAATGGCTACTTGTAAACAGTGTACATGTATGACTCAGAAATTTTTTTGACAAAGCAGCAAAAACAGAGGCAGCTGAATATGGTGAAATCCCTGATTATCTGAAATTCTTTGGAAAGTGAAAAGACGGTTGATCCTTTGAGTGAGGGAATAAATTAATGCTTTGTTCCAGTGTTCAGAAGAACATATCGAGAAAATTAAAAATCTAGCAGACAAAAACTACGAGAGATTAATCTGAACTAAATAGTGAGAAAAAATCTTGTAAATCAGTTTGAAATTAGATAATAATATATAATCTTATATTTTAAAAAAGAAAAATTACAGTGTTGTTCAAAAAACACTTTAAACTTAAAAATTAAATAATTAAAGTTATTATAAAAGTAGTGAATAAAACTAAATTTCTCTGATTTACATCATGATCTCTAAATTCATCTTTGAATAGAAACAAAATTTCCAACAAAAGTCTCTTCGCTCACACAACAAAAAACAAGTTAAAACTGAAATTAAAAACCTGTTTCACAATTGCCTAGGAAGGAAACACTTGTTTAAGATGTGGAAAAAGCATGGTATAAAAAATAATACCAAGGATTGGGAAAATTACAATAATTATTGTGAAGAGGATTTCTCTATTGATGTCAAAAGAAATCAAGATTAGAAAAAACACATCTTACACCTCGTTGAATTTCAATAAGGAAGAAAATAAATTCAATTGAACTACACAAAAATACTCACATAAATTTAGCACATAAGTCTTATTCTTCACTAAGACTAGGCAGTAATAGTGTTTCAGTCAATGACAGGCTTCTTTGTGATGTATTATTCACAATAAGAAATGAAAGCTTTCTGCTAAATTCATAATTAATTCATATGACAGCACTTGAATAGTTTATGAGCTATTCCCATATATGGTAACTGATTGATGAATACTTTAAATAGCTTGTTCTTTAAAGTAAAATTTAAGTTTTGTTGAGTTACACAAAATCACACAATAGATTCATGTTCAACCTGTAGTTCTTGAAAAATATCCAAGCAGAAAGGTTTGAAAATATTTAAAAGTTCTTCAAATTAATCTTTGTTAAGTGTAGGTTTTAGAGCTAAAAATAATAACTTTTAGGGCTTAACATATAATACTATGAAGGAAAAAAATGTTGGTAAAAGACTAAAACAATGAAATAGGCTCTAAGGTTACCATAGAGACTTCTTCACCTAAACCCCCTAATAACTCAAACTAAGTTCACTTTCCCATTGGCTCAATTTGTAGTTAATCAACTCAAACTCAAGTCAAGGTACATTTCACTGTTTTTTTTTTTTGTAAATCCCTTAGCAGTTCAATTCTCCTTAAAACCTAGCAGTACCCAACATAACAATGTATATTATTTCTCCTAACTTATTGCATGAATATGGTACATCAAGCACAAAGCTCCCAAAAATAAAAGAAGTTGACAACTAAAGGAAGGACTTATTCCTCATTAAGGTCATAAGAAATTTATGGAGAACAGTCCATAGAAAAAAACAATGCTATAGGGTTAATGCCCCGACAACACAACCCCAAACCCTTACTCCTCTCTCTAACTTTCTTGCACTATGTCCAATTGCAAGGGAGGTTAAAGAGGAGGAGGGGGGAGGGGCCATTGAAAGAACAAGTTGACATAAGTGGTTGTACAGGGTACTAATTTAAGACTTACTGGAGTATCTTCATAATCAGCTGCCTTGATCTTTAGGCCACTATTCCGTGCAACTTCATCCTTCACACTGGGTTCTGAAAAGATATTACCACAAACAAAGTTTCAAAAATAATTTTAAAAAAAGATTTAACGGCTCACTATATGGTCCTTTAGCGTGTAGCACTCAAAAACTAAAGTCTATTTGAACTAATACCTTTTTTGATCCTTTCGGCAACAGCCCTGGGCTCTTCAAGCGTGTACTGTGTTTGTGCCATCTTAAGCTTCACTTCTGCATTGTTGACCCTGTTGAAAACACAAGCAAACATTCTGTTAATATAAACAGCTAACACTGTAATAACACATGAGCATCGTAGAATAATTCTGTGTTGCATTGATGACCAAATCCTCTAAATTAGTAACCACGTTGTCAACTACATGTAGATTTCTCTGAAGACATAAATTTTTGAAAACAATGTTAAGAGTAATCTGTCACAGTGGCGGGCGTCCAATTAAAGATCTTGTTTGTTTAAACTCATGTTGCAATATGAAATATTGTATTTGAAGCAGTCTTTTTTGGTCGATTCTTTAATTTTATTATGGTCCCACCTATCGTCCCCTTAGTTTACTTTAGCACATAAAATTATCCGATGTTTGTAACGCACGCTATCTGTTAGTTTCAGTTAAAACAAAACTAATAGTTCTGAAGGGTGCAACAACCTGGTAACTAACAATGAGGAACTGGCCACCCCTATGAAACATTATTTTAGGGGCCACGAGGATCTTGAATCTTCAGCTGTGTTACTTAAGAAAGTTACTGAGGTGATGGAAAAATTAGTGTTAAAAATGGACAGATTATCTTTATATCATGATCATTAGCTTACTTTATCACAGTAAACATAGGGGATGGCGCAGAGTTCCAAAGGGCATTCTGAAGTGCGGCTGCGACTATTTTGGCCTGGGCTGCAGTTACACTGTATAGATTTAGAGTGTACAGAGGTTGTGAGGAAGCATGCATGAGAAAGTATCGTAAGCTGTATAGTGTAACATACTGAAACAATCACCAGTAGTGATATGGATACAAGAATAATGGNAGTGTTAAAAATGGACAGATTATCTTTATATCATGATCATTAGCTTACTTTATCACAGTAAACATAGGGGATGGCGCAGAGTTCCAAAGGGCATTCTGAAGTGCGGCTGCGACTATTTTGGCCTGGGCTGCAGTTACACTGTATAGATTTAGAGTGTACAGAGGTTGTGAGGAAGCATGCATGAGAAAGTATCGTAAGCTGTATAGTGTAACATACTGAAACAATCACCAGTAGTGATATGGATACAAGAATAATGGACTGCAGGACCTACTGGGCATTAATGAGTGTTCTAATTTAGGGACATCCTTTAGGTTTTTAATGGTCGAACGAGACTGCATGTCTTTTATATTTCTTTTTCCATTCTACAGTCAAACCCCATTAACCCTTTGAGTCCCAATGGTGACCAACATCAATTTTCTCTTAACAATGTCCATACATTGTCAAGAGAAAAGGTTATGAGAATTGATAAAATGATCACCAAAGTGACAATGCATTGATCTTTTATGAAATTCTCTCAACTCATTCTTTAAAGAAATGTATGGAGGTCAGTTTGGAGAATTTGTATGGGTATATTGGGGCTTAATGGGTTAAATAGGACATTGAGGGGGCCATAGATAGTGTCTGGGATATCCATATTAAGCAGGTTGGATTTAGAGAAAAAGTAAGGGCTTTCTTTCCCCGGGGACAAAGCAAACTGTCCATAATAATGAGGTGTTGGTATTAAGAGGATGTTTGCAAAGCAAGGTTTGACTGTAGTTGTCTGCCTCACTGAAAGATCAGATCTAAGGCATGTTACAATCGACGATAAAATCATTGAGACACTGTCCTCAAATTGGGTAACTTCAGAGAACAAAACAATCCACACCCCTTCCCCTCCCATCCATTAAAGGACGGAGCGTTGGTTGTTTCCTACAGGTAGCAAACAGCAGCACAACTTTGCATGGAAGGGGTGGGGGAGAAAAAGCATCATTTTCCCCTTTTCAGCAAAACATCAGAAATGGAGAAGTGTCTCCACTAATTTTGTTCCTGATTGTAGAATCTCTCACGGCTGTAAACTTACATGACCTGTATCATCAGAAAGTAGAAGTGTAAGGGGAGGAGAACTTACTTCTGATTCATTGACAATTTGATGTTGCCTTCTTTTAAATTATCAGAATCAGCTGCAAAAGAAGATGAAATAAGTTATGACAACAGTTATAACACTCCATACATAGAATTAAACTTTAAAAATGCAAACAACAGCCTTCCCAATGAAGCTGCAGAATTCATTTTCACCTTTAGGTGGGCAATTAGTAAGATTTCAAGTATTGAACAGCTTGGGCGTGGCCTATTTTGGTTTTTATTTTCCATTGGTTTTCAACAATGTTTGAGAGTTAAGCTAAGGGTCATGCTCATGTAAGCTGGAGGGAAATCCACTGCTCTCATTAAGTGATTAAAGTGTAACCTCAATATGATGTACCTCAATATAACCAAATCCTTAGTATGACAAACTATTTTCTTTACCCCGGTAATAGCAAAATATATGAAAAAAACCCTCTTTATAATGAAACCTCGTTATAGCGAGAAAAATTTCGCCAGTCCCTTGGCCCTTCGTTACATCAAGGTTCCACTGTACTCCCAATAGGATTCAGTACAGGGGGGGGGTAGCCTACTTTTTTGACTTGTTGGAGGCCTGGCTGACTTTCATTTCCACATATCCTGAAAATTACACGCATGACTAATACGCACTGATCTCACCAACACCTTGAGCTCTTAAGATTTTTAGCTCACCCCAACAATCCATAATTTATTACAAGCGGCAGAGTGATTAAACCAAAAATTTGTAAGCACAGGCCTAAAGGTCTCTGGGCTGGCATGGCTATGCCCCTGGATTACTGCCAATAGTATTCAAACCTATGACCTTCAGGGTTACTAGGCCAGATGCTCTACCACTAACCTATGGAGCAGGAGACCAGCCCAGTGGGGTACTCCGGATTTTAAGTGACACAGATGATTGAAGGAATTTTGGGGAGGTTGAGATTTTCAATTTCTGTATTTTTTGGGGTTGAAAAAATTTTGGCAAGTATTTTTTTGGTTAGCTTGATTTAAGTAGGGATTTTTTTGGGTACTCAAAACAGTCTGAAGATTCGTGATAGTTCCTGCGTATCCCGGCCGCGTAAATCCGTGAATATATTTTTATGGCTCCGAAATTCGGCATGGGATTTTTTGGGGGTTAAATTTTGGTCCAGGGATTTTTTGGGGGGTTTTGATTTTTGCCGCCATTCAATCATCCCTGTCACTTGAAATCTGGCTATAAGGCCACTACATTAGGTTCATGTGAGATTTTTCCAGAGTTAAGACCATATTGAGCCCATCTTAAAGAAAGATAGTTCAATGCCAATGACATATCCATTAATCATGAGTCTTCTCACCTTGTTCCTTGCTGACATGATCACTGGCATCATCCTTCACTGGAACAAAATTATCCTTGTACAGCTTTGACGCCTCTTCCTTCTTGACTGAATTAGGAACTTCAACTATGGAGCTCTCCCTCTGGCTTTGAAAAAAATCCTCAACACGTTTATAAGTCTTCTCTGGATTAGGCCCTTGATCGATGACTACGTCCGCCTTCACCTTCTTTACCTTGCCCTTCACCATGACTTTTCCTTCTTCTCTCCTTCCTTCGGAAGAAGCCTGCTTTTCAGTTTGCATGCGATTGTCTTGGAGACCAGAATTATCATGGTCCGGTGCTATTTCGCTAGTTAATGGGACTGGTGGAATTTTCTTTTCGCTATCTACAGGGAAGCTTCTGACATTGTCTTCTGCCTGCATTATTTCACTTTTTTTGGAAGCCAAGTCTACATTGTCACCTAAAGAATCTTTAAGACTCTTGTCTACAAATTCATTCTTATTTTTAGAGGAATCCCTTCTGTGACCAACACTTTGTGCAGATTTAGAACCAGAATCCTCTTTTTGTCGTATATGTTTCGGGGCTTTCAAACTATTGTAATCATAAGGAAGACTTTTGTATTCATCTCGGTTGGATTGTTTGTTAGTACCATGCTTTACACCAATACTAATTTTGTCCCAGTTTTCAACCCCAATAGGGGGCAATGACTCAGCGTCAAGAACTCTCCTGTCAGAAGGTAAATCTTCAACTGGAAAAAATGGTCCTAAATTCCGCCCCTCCTTTCTGCGATCATAGTCACTCTCAACTGCATACCATTCTGAATTATCAGGTTGATCAAGTCTGATGTCATCCCTGTTATCAAACTCTTCCCGATAGTTGGAATTATAGTACTCATTGGAACTTATTCTTCTTGGTATCTCTCCTCTGCCATAAGATGGATAATCTACAATGAAAAAATCAGTAATGCAAAGATATGATTGAGTGATTCATAATATTGTACATAGGGAATGTAATACAGAGATCATGAGTTCAAGTCTCGATGTAATTTAACCCGTGATCAGGCCAAATTTTAGCAGCACCCTTACATTCTCTTTCATGGTTTGCTCTTAACTGTCAATTAATCACAAGGCTGTGCTCTAAGGAAAATAGAAGAGAACATGGTGCTCTAAAACTGTAAAATCTAGGGTGCCTAGCATATGATTTGTATGAAAAAACTAAGATTTTCTAGTCACCCAAGAACAAAAGTTAGGCGCCAGGGGCCTCTGGGCTCTGCTATAGCACAGCCCTGAATCAAAACTGTCAGCTGCAGACCAACAAGAAAATGTTTTTTTATGCTTCATTTTCATTAGCAGAATTGCAAAAACAGGGCATCATTTAGATTCAAATTTCAAAACATTATCCTCAGTTCCATGCTCCCAAACTCTCCTCACACAGCGCTCCAAGCTGCGACCATTTTGGTCATCATGGCGAGTACAGTGTTAAAAAAAGATGGCAACTAAACTTGTAACTAAAGTCGCCAATTTGGCGACCTGCGTTCAGCAGTCGTGAGCCAAGGTGTATAAGGTTTCTTTATCTGCTGCTGGAGATCCATTTGCTACAGAAAAAGCTGCTGAAACTTGGCAAAAATATGAACCAATTCTACGGAAGGAAACTGTTTCAGAAATCCACATCAGCTTACCTTAGGATCAACTCGGAACACCTTCACATGTAACACGCGAAAAATGAAGTTCCAGTAATCAATGTGGTCGGCAGTATAAACCTTCATGTAAAATTACACCAAATGTGTTTTTTTTTATGGCGACCAATATATTATGTCTGGCAACCATTTTATAATTTTAGGTCGCCAAAAGGTGACTTTGAAAAAAACTGAGCTTGGAGCACTGTCACGTGATGGGAAAATTAAATTAACTAGTTCAATTGTTGCATAAAATTTTATTTGCAAGCAAATGTTTTTTTTTTTTTAATTTTACAAAACTAGGATAGATCCTACCTTGTCGGCCAGCTACTTCTCTCTTACACAAATCTGCAACATACAGGGACAGTAAAAATGAGAAAAACCATTCAGTTTTATCAGTTTCTCTGTAAATCCTCAAATGAATGCCACTTTCAAGATGTCTGAGAATGAAAGCAACATGTGCCACAATAGGCTGCAATGAATATTCTTTCATTTCATTTTTCTTTTCTCTTGTTTCTTATTCACATTGCAATTTCCATAGGCCATCCTCTTTTTTTTTTCTCCGTTTAGCGTCGTCCGACTGCCTCAGATTTTTGGCATTTTCAAAAAAAAAAAAAGAAGTAACGACCTAGTTAAACCATTTTTCACTTGAAATAATTCTTTTAATCTGAAAAATGAGCACAGGATAGTGTGGAGAAATACAGGAACAAAAACAGGACCATTTTTTTAACAGTATAGCTAGTGTGCATTTGTTAATCGAAATATGTAAATGTTAACTTTTAACGTCATTCTGGGGTACTAGGGCCTCATATTCCGAGACTTCTTGTGATTTTTTTTTAGGTTTTTTTTTTTCAATCCGACCGACCGACCCAATATCAGGAAACGCATTCGACGCTAAACGGAAAAAAAATGGGGATGGCCATAATCTAAAATTACACAAGAGGAAACACAGTGATTTGACAGATTTCCCTGTCTTGAGTGTTTGGAAGATCTTGTTGTCCCTTATCACCAAAAAACAGGCACCCTAAGGTCTCCATAAGTTCAGTATATTATGCCAATTATGTACTATTTGTGTACAATTGTTCACAAATTTTGTTTTGTTTTTTTTCGCACGGTTTCTGGCTGAATTAATACCGTTTTTAGATTTGTCTAGTTTTTGTACAATGTAAAAAAGGATTTCCTTACATTCAGTGATCTAAAATGCTGAATTTAATTTTGCTATTTGTATTTCCATGGTTCAGTAGTGTGGAAAAAAAGCAAAAAAAGGTGTAAGCCGCCGTGTGAACCTGCCAGACGACCATGTTGTAAGAAACGAGAACATCATAAAGAAGGGGAGCAATATCGCATAATCAATAAGCCGCTAAGAAAATTATCAAATATAGTTTTTTTGGTTAATCGTTATTTAGTTTTTTTACTGAGTCTACAAAGAACGACAAATTCTTAAAACTCAAAAATGGTTTCTAGGGAAGACATGTTGGGAATAACTGGGTTTAGTAAGCTGGTGTGTAAATTATCATAAAATGCTACGAGTGCTACTTTTCATACAATAAAGGAAGAAATCCTTTAATCGAGATATTACACGAACATGTACTTTCAAGTAAACAATGAGACAAAGATTGCTGTGATAACGCCCGAAGACTGTTTGAATGTAAACCAAGTTCTGCTTCAACGATTATGCTCAACTTCTGTCGAGCAAAGAACGTCGAATTTTCAGATACATTTTTGTGCGACATGTTATGTTTGCAGATCAAGGAATTAGACATGCAAAATAACGAACAAAGAATATTGAATAAAGCAAAAAGCCCTGATATTATAGTTATTTACTAAACTACCGTTTACGGTTAAAACATATGCAAATTTATAATTTTCGGGAACGATCGCTTTGAACCCGTGAGGTATTCAACTATTTGGTATTCAGGCTAAAGTTAAATATCTTACAGCGTTAAAAATAGGACCTCGTAAGTGAAAATACGAGAGAAATTTGTCACTAAAATAATGGTGATATGTTGTTAAAATTTAAGGAAAAAGAAAATGTATTCCGTTCAGGCGGGAAGCACATTCAAATCAAACCAGCCAGAACGAAATTAATCAAAATGTTGGAACCAATTCGACGCCGATCAATAAGCGCGTCAAAAACAGCTTCATGAAAGTCACTAGAACCTGCTTCACATTCTTAGAGAACAATTTATAATAACATAGAAGCATATGACATTGAGAATAAAATGTTCTTGATTTTTATAGATCTACCAGGTGACCGCAGAATACTCAAACAGTTTGGTACATGGATCGAGGTTGGCGATCAAAGACCAAGAATATTAAAACAAGGACGCGAATAAAACGTCTCAATAACTGAACATTTACTCACATTCATCGCAGTATTGGCCATAGCCACAGTCACTCGAAGTGAGGCAACCTAAAGTTACAAAGCACAAATATAAATGAGTGTACTTTTCATCCTTGAAAATCAAGAGTTCTCGAATCTTTGATCGCAAGAGGGGTGCAACTGGTCTAAAGTTGAACAGAAACTTACCGGCCACCGGCGAATCACTAAGATGTCCATAGTCCAGGATTAGAACCACGATAAGAAAGATAAACTTTAGGTTTTTCGAATCCATAGAATTCCATTTGATTTTAATAAAGGAGAAAAAGTTTCATGGTTAAAATATATGACAAACTACCACCACGGAACTCGCCATGACTGTCTTTCTATCAGCCATCAACAAAAGTGAACTCGAATCCCCGGATGTTTAGGTATTGTCGGAAATTGTCGATCAACCATTGTTCTTCTGACCAATCAGAACGCAATAAATCATGTATTCCCGATCCCGCGACCATCTGTACACTTTTGAATGAATACATACATAAACGCCTACTCAAAACTTCCTTATTCGTCAACATGATATTCTTGAGTCACCACAAGAGACCAAGGGTAATTTTGCCTCAAGAAATCGTGAAAAAGTTTTTCGCACACTCACGCAAAAAACAACGCAGCAAAATCAAACCAAAGGAAAAAATAGAAAAGAAAAAGGACATGACATCCATGGCAATTATACAAAAAGGGAGGATTTTAATATTTTTTTATCTCGAAAGAGTATTATCATTCTGTCTTATTGACTTAATTTTGAATAGCATCTGGGGATGATCAAACAATGTACCCCAATAACTCTTTCTATATCCCCCTTTAAAGTAGCTGTTTTCGATATCTGACAGCGTGCTTCAACTAGAGGTGGCAATTTAGGTAATTTTTAATGAAAGAGAAGCAATCGTAAAGAATGACGCGTTCATTTCGTTTAAAAATACTCCCACGCACTCTACACGCGTAACTGCCTGCGCGGAAAACCATAATTTTTTGGTTCTGTTCGCTCGTGACGTCACAAATTTGCCGCGAGTTCACGGTTTTCGCGACAGTCCACACAGGGGCGACGCAAAAAAGAACGATTTGCCTGATATATACGTCGTTTTATACGTACTTATCCAATCTGGAGGCCGTTGACAAAAATATCTTTTTAATCCATTTAATATAATGATCGTTACATACAATATATCCATAGTAATAATATAAACAAAGACCTTAACACAGTTCAGTTTAGCGTACGTCATGACCATACCAGAACAATATATTTTTGACCATGATAATCGTAACATCAATTGTGACAAACAATCGTGTATTTCAGAAACTTCCTGTTTTTTTTTTTTTCTTCCGTTTTGGAAATCTTTTAACCGCCTCCTTATTGTTTTAGTGGAAATTGTTTTCGGCCGAAACTGTAGAATTGTACTCATTTTAGGCATCCTACTGTAAATGAACTTTTGCTAGTTAGATACCCTAAAATTCCGAAAATAAGCCCCTCCATGTATAAGCCCCTCCAAATATAAGCCCCCAAACCGGTAACGCAAAAAACCCTCCGTTAAATCGCCCCTCCAAATATAAGCCCCCCGGGGGCTTGCACTTGGAAAATTGCCCTCAAATACAAAGTAAAACAACACAAAAACGGTAAATTTACTTCCAACCATAAGGCTAGCCCAATTGATTTTGAAACGAAAATTTCCCTCCGTAGATAAGCCCCTCCGAATATAAGCCCCTCCAAAAATAAGCTCCTCAAAAAGGGCCTTTGAAAAATATAAGCCCCGGGGCTTATTTTCGGAATTTTACGGTGTTACCATTTGAGCTATGAAGGCCCATACATTGGGACCAGGCCAATTTATTGAGTTCATCGAGAAACTCATAAGTGGTTATGAGTTTCTGGTTCATCTTAACTAGTGAAAGGAATGAAACATTAAGGTAATGTGAACTGTGGAAAGACAAATTTTATATGAAGATGTGATCGTCGCAATTGCAATTTAAGCAATTGCAAATAAAACTGAATTTTTTTTTCGGGTTTATTTGCAACTGCAATTACCACTGCGATGATCATATTTGTATTTCCGCAATTCTCATCATCGTCAATCGTGTATAGTCTGCCACTTTTCAGTTTTATTTTTTGTGAGGTCCAGGGTTTTCCTTTCTCGAACGTTTACTACCCAGGTAGCCTGTAGTCTCCTTCGCAGCCGTTATTAGGGTCGTCACTCGTCACGCAACGCTCCTCCCCACTAACTAGTGGGGAGGAGCGTTGCGTGACGAGTGACGACCCTTATAACGGCTGCGAAGGAGACTAGGTAGCCTGCGAACAGCAAACGCATAAAGTTCGGTCGTCGCTTCTCTCCCTCCCCAGGGAGAGAAGCGACGACCGGAAATGCGTCTGCCAGCGTACTACAGGATTTTTCATTAAATCAGCCGCCGAAAAAATACATTTTGAAACATCTCTGCGAGCCGTATAAACGTTTTCGCGAACAGAATGTATTACTGGCGGGTGGCAGTACATGTTTTGCTTGCAACGGGCTACTGATTGGCCTTGTTCCCTTTTTTAGTGACAAGATCTCATTAGTTAGTGGCCGTGTTACCTTTTTTAAGTAAAAAGATCTCATTTGTTAGTTTTTCCGTTAGTTTTTATAGACTCTTTCATAGAGCGCTCGAGTGAAACACGTGAAGGGGGAGGAAGGCTCCCCTGTATACTCCCCCCTGGGCACGCGCGTCCGCGAAACTTTTTCCGTCCCACTGCTACGCGTGGCTATTCAACCAGAAAACAGGGTCATGGGCTTCTGCATGTAGGGATCATTTGAAGTCAATTACCCTGTTATTCTTCTGCAAAGTAATCACCGCTGTTAACTGACAACAAAAACACTTTTCTGACATTTCAAGAACAGTCAACTTTTTGGTGATAGATTTTTGAAAGAATCGTCGGCTATTACAACGTTTGACGACCAGTATTAAGTGGTCACATCAAACATAATACATATTTGTTCGTTTTTTTTTTTTTTTTATCAAGTGAACTGGTAGTGCCATAACTCACGTCTTATAAATAAGATCAAAGTCCAGAGACAATATAAGGGGTAGAAAATTGAAAGTCTAAATTATCATCCTTTGGGAGGAGAGTTAGGGAATGAGGCGGGAGGCAGGATAGGGAGTGAGTCAACAAAGCAAAATCGTCATGAGTAGTGAGATACCCAGACAATATCCCATGGTTTAATTTCATTTTAGGCACACAAAAAATAGAATAAATAAAATATTAATAACAATAACAACAACAACAATAATAATAATAATAATAATAATAATAATAATAATAATAATAATGGTGATGATAATAATAATTATGATAATGATAATGATGATGATGATGATAATTCGTTATTCTTCTGTAAAGGAATTGTAACACTGCAAAATTTTCAATCTTGGAATCCTTTTTGTTTACAAACAGAGGGAGTAAAACGTCTCTCAAACTAACAAGACCCGATTCAGCTATGAGAAGAGATTTTGTTGTGACAGCACCAATAATATTCTGCTTCGAATTTTAACCCTCCAACCCCTAATATCTTTAGATTTATGAGAAGTCCCAACTTGCAATACATAACGAATTAAAACCAGATAATAATAATAATAGTGATAATAATAATAACGCTACTGTAATAATAATAATAATAATAATAATAATAATAATAATAATAATATAAACAATAGTACTGCTGAAGAAGTTTCATTTGCCATGGTGATGCAATGGAACTTTTTTGATACGTTCAAAAGTTAAAATAACACAAAAGCATTATCAAAATGTACCTGAAATTAACTTAAATATCGATGAATTTTAGCAGTAACAGATTTTTCCCAGTTGCAATAGCTGGATTAGAACAGCTGACAGACTGCAAAACATAATAGACTCAAATAAGGATGTTACCCATATAATACAAGCTGGTGGGGTGAATATTGTTCAGCTGGACATTCATTATATTTTAAGGGAACAAGGCCTTAAAAAGCCAAAGAATGAGAGGGGGGAAAGGCTTATGTCGTAAGGGGGGGTTTGTGTTGGTATTGAGGAAACCATTGTTGCTTCGCCTCTATGTTGTAGAGTGGATATTGTTCAGTGTTTTCAGTCTTTTGTATTACATCATTTGGTGACACACACTCATCTGCAACACCAACAAAACAACCCCAAAAGGAGGACTTTGCTGGGAAAAGTAGAGAAATTATCTCAATAATTATACCCTTGCACAAACTCCAAAAATATGGGGCATGCATCAGTGTAAATGTCACCTAATTTCTAGCCTTTCTGGGTACCCACCTCCCTTGAAAAAAAAGTTAAAATCTGGTTTCAAATTCTTTGAGGGAATGTGTGGTGATTTAAAAAACTAACAAATGTACATTACTGACTAAAGCAGTCTGGATATGAGAGAAATCTAGATTTAAATCCGTTTATGATGACTGCAACAAATTTTACAACTACATTATCACTTAATATGTTAAGTGACCTTACAAGCATCACTAGTCATCAATAATAATATTTTATTTACCCTTATAGCATATATGTATTATAAAGGAGAGAAACAAAAATCTACTGTAGGGATCTACAATGATGTATCACTAAACTTTAAATGATTTCAAAGGAAATGTTTATGCTATGATCCTTAAGGCATATTGCTGGAGTAGCATTTCAAGAGAAAATTCAACTTCCATGTTTAAATCAAAGGAAAATAAAAATAGCGTGGACGAAACTAAGTGAAAATGCAAAGAAATCCAACGAAAGGAGACAGTACAAACAAGAACTGGAAATACAAAAAGAAACTGGCAAAATATTTAACACAGTACATCTTGCAAAAATAGTTCTCACTTCTTGAAGATAGTGAACGATATAGTTTCTTTAAGTGCCAATAAAACTCCACCAGGTGCAATAACTTGAAGTTACTGTTACCAGCTGTGGATAAGCTTTAAAGCGTGATCCTGCATATTTTAGAATAAATATTTTCATGTGCAGCTCTTTCGCAAACATGTAGTGAACAGTTGTAACCATCATGGTTATATGGTGTGTGTAGGGATGACGTTTCGGAATTGTGATATTACTGAACCCAAAGCAGATACGAATAGTAAAGCACAACGATGTTAAAGTGCCTTGAATGAATCGGCCTTACAAAGCGAAACTGTTACGGACGGAAGCGAATGTATATAAAAGCAAATTCAAAGTTTTATTGGCCGAAAAAAGCACCAAACTGTACGCAGTGTCTGTATAAAAGAGGAAGTTCTCGCCATGATAATAATAAATCACAAACTAAATGAAATTTTTACTGAGTCGAGAAACCTATGACTAAACTGAGAAAAAAAATCGTGCTAGATAATGCTTAGTTATTAACTTCGGTTGAAAAACTTTTGATTTGACCGCTTGAAAGAGAGCCACAAGCTGATTTTAGCCGAATGCCTTTAATGAAATTTAATGATTCTAGCTTTATTTCCTACCGAGAAGCTAACTTACTACTATTTCAGACTCGGAAGAAACAGTGTTCGAAGCTGCAACGCAAATGGTTGGTTTTAAGTCACCGTTACCACAAGCGATCTTCTCGGTCGCTTTTGAGGCAGAATTAGAGTGATTTGCCAGAACATTTGGAACGGGGATTACTGCGGTCAAGTTGTTCGTTAACGCCGACAGTGACACTGCTACCTTTTTCTTCCTCCGGCGCCTTCGTTTTATTTTTCGCACCTTGTCGCACACAAACTTCTGTTTAGGATTCGAGACTGGTTTTGGTTTAAGAAATTTATGCGTCGACTCACGAAAAACTGGCCCGCCAAGTCGCCAGTTCCATAAAGGATGTGACGACGGTGGTTGAAAGCCTCTTGGGCAAGACATTGTAAAAACAGGGCATAAGCTGCCATTCTCAAGGCCCAGTTGCGAAGTCGCGGGAAATAAATTTAAAAGCTTAAATTTGCTGTTGGTTTGTAAACACGGTTTTGCGGGTCCAGCAACCTTTGTTTTTATGGGCTTGAGTTTTGCTGGTTCCTGGCTCTCCGAGGATTCAGGAGAAACAGAGCTTGGTTTGGGGCCGAAAAATTTGGCCAACGCGTCTCCGACAATTCTATCAAGAACAGCGTTTTTCTTCAACAGGTCATCTTTACTCTGTTTGTCTGTATTTAATTGGTCATCTGGAGCTAACCTTTCTTGTGCTTGTTTCCCTGATTTCTTTACTTTTGCGGTCAAAAAGTTACACTTTTTTGCGGCGCCGATAACTTCCCCATTCAAACATGTTCGCTCTCCGCCTCGAATGATAAGCTTAGCTTTTTGCTCTCTCTTAGCTATCTTCTTCTTATGCACACTCACACTGTTTGGCTTTACTCTGTTGAGTGAATCACTGACGTTCAGTGAAACCTCTTGAGAAATTAGCGGTTTCCTTCTTTTTCTCCTTTTTCGCACTTGTTTCGTTTGACCGCAAGCTTCCTCAACAAGAGCAGTTGATCCGCCCTTGTCTTCAGTTTTCAAAATGCTTTTATGCGAGCAGTCCGTTGCCTCTTTAACGGGGCTTTTTTGTTCCACTTGCCATGAATTCTCGTACCGTTTTAGTAACAGGGCTGGAGGCGATAGAGTTAAACTGTTGCCGTCATCTCTTTTGATTTCATTTTTCGTTGGCGTTTTAAGTTTCGGGAGCTTTGTGCGCGGCGATGAATGCTCGCCATTTTTTGTAGCTTCTTTATCCTTTTTACGTAGCTCGCTTAAGTCTTCAGTTATAAAATCCTTCTTCGTCGGCGAACTTGCATTTGAAAGTACCGTCGATGCAAAGCCGCTGTCGTTGGACGACGAATCAGAAATAAAACAATCTAATTCTTGCTTCTGAGAGGGCTGCGAAGTAAGCGAACAACGTGAAGAGCGGGACGGACAATGTTCGTTTATTTTGTCAGTGTCTTGTTCACGCGTATTCAACTCACTCCTCTTGGGAATTTTTAATGGCGATTCAAATTCACCAAATTCCTGCTTGCCTTGCACATCACTTGACGGCCTTTTCTTTAGCCGACGCAATTTCTTCTTTTTGTCTGTTTGTGAATTTATAAAATTCCTGTCACGCTTCTTGGTATTAAGTTTATCGCATTTGAGCAACGAAGGACTTTTCGCCTGAAACGACGACAGCAGTTCTGACGAAACTGCAGCAAAACCTTCCCTGTTTGTAGAACAAAGATGTGAGTCAATGGCCGCGAGTCTAGCATTATCCGTTGACGTTTGTGTACACTGGCTATCGGGTGAAAGCGCCGATTTCAGTTTCACGCTGTTACAGATTTTGGTCAACTTTAACTTAGCTTTCAGCGGCGAAGATCTTTTTTGTTTATGAAGAACTGTTAATTTGTTCTGGATTTTAGTGTTGTCGTGGTAGGCCGATTCCATATCTTTGGCACCGTAGTTTTCAACACTATGTTCCTTACCAGCGATTTCCGATTCGTTCGTAAAATCCTCCGAACACTTTCTTTCACTCCTTTCATTCAAATCGTCGATATACATCGAGCAATATTTATCAACTTCTGTCTTTGAAATCAACGTGCAGTTTGCCGACGAACCATGTATGCCATTGACTGTTTTGAGCAGTTTGATTTCTTCAGGTTGGCAGAAATGCCTGCGAACTTTCATCTTTTCCATTCTTGTAAATAGTGTAGTCCTCGGAGTTCTTGGCAGGACTAAAGCAAGTAACTCCGCCAAAGGTAACATGTATTCGCCATCAATGTTCAAATATGCCAGTTCAACTCCACGAAACACGAGCCTTCCACACTTAGGTAGCTCTTTCTGTACTTCTGCTGCAGGTTCTACGCTCATCTTGACTTCAAATGATGTTTCAATTTATTGAGAACACTATCCGCTAGCTTCCAGTAGCAAGACGTTAGTGCTAAATCTGGGCGACGGATTGCTTGAAAATCAGCCGCTTTGAGGTCAAAGCAAACTTCCAGACCGCGACCACTTGCAGTCCATATTTAGGCCTCAGTACATATCTCCTTATTTTCACCTTAACGTTGTCCAAAATGCGCGGATTTGCTCTGTATATGTAAGGCTAAAGTCACTCTATGCTTCAAACTCACGTTATAGCCAGCTAACCCCATCTCAAATGCACGCCTCTTTGCCGCTAAGCTCAATAGCCCCAGGAACACGCTCTGATTGGTCAATATGAGAGTAACGCCACCTGATTGGCTGGTGAAATCTACTGCCTTGTTATTGAAATACATCATAGATTTCCTACTTCGCCGTCGAGGTTATGAAAATCGGGTCATTTTACGAGGAGAAAATTCACTGCAAGATTTGGAGGTCTCGACCAGATGGGCTGCAAATTTGGCCTCTGAATTTGCTTATGAAGGAACCTTCGCCATTGCGGATTGCGCTTCAAGGTCCTTCAAGTTCCCCGCCGTGCTTGAAGTTAGTGCTTGCCTAGGAGCTTGTGACGTTTTGGATTAGAGTCATCTGCAGAATATTCCGTCAAATGCAGCGATAAGGTTTTGCATGACTTTTTTCAAACGTATTTCTCATGTATGTAAGATATAACTGTAGCATAGAGGCTAATGAAAGGATAGTATATTCGTGATCCCCTTTGAGTACTTGTGACTTGATCGCATGCCGTACAGTGCGCCATAAGGCAATTGCACTAGACATTTTTAATTGAAATGCAGGGTTTCACATTAGTTTAGGATAACCTCTGTTTTAAGAAACGTTGATAAACAGATACTTGCCAATTTAAATAGACTGCTTTGAAAAGAAGGTTGTTGCTCTTTTGATAAACTTTATTGGGTACACCCTACATGAATCTCTGCTAATTTTTTCCAACAGTTCACCAAAATCCCTTATTTTGTTGTTATTAACCTCGTTATAATGCACTGATAAATGTACATGACTGGTAAACTTGCTATCAAGGTTTGATCGATCTCTATATTTAATACACCTGAGCTGTACAATTTATTAAAACAAAGGAGTAACTCTCAAATTTTGAAGTGTTGTGCAATGTACAAACCATTTCAACTATCTTTGATGACTGGTCTTTCCTTCCATTGAAGAATCAATTAGGATAGACGAAACAACACCTTGCATTAGATTGCTTTGTGCAGTGTACAGTGAGGTTCTAAACTGGGTTCGGGTCAGGTTTTTCTAGTATTGAGGTTTTCACTTTTCTCGTGACTTCAGATTCCTCTACGAATCACACTATCATCGTTAAAGAGTCGGTAGCTGATATTTTGTGTTTTAGCAGCAAAGAAAGCAGAAATTATAACGCGATTTGTCAAAACATGTTTCTGGAAATGTAGTAACAGATATACATTCAAGCTATCAGTGTGAGTATTTAACTTTAAGCCAAACGGACTGTTAGGGACATGACATCTCGTGACGGCACAGAGTTCGACGTTCTCGACCGTCGGAACAACCTCGAAAGGTTAGCAGATAATGACGGGTATTATCAATGCTTTAAGTAAGGACAACTAAATTCATAAATCCTTCAGCATTCTAAAAAGAAAGCATGGTATAAACTTCATAATTGAGAGCATCAAAATATCGGGCCTCCGACGTTCGTGTGTCGCACGCTTACAAAATTGATCGAAGCTGAGGTGAATTTTGTGTAAGGTTAGGATTGTCATGGCTCTAACTCTTTCAGTATTTCACAAATTACCATAAATAGAATCTTTTTGAACTCTTTTCTCGCGAGAATTTTCAGGAGGGTTTAAGCTAAGTCAAGAATTCCTTTTCAAATAGCGACGTCACAAACCATTTCTTCACAAAAGCTCGATGATTTAGCAAAGTCAATAACAGATTGCATTTGCATATCGTGTTCCGGAAGCTTTTCACACGACGAGAATGTTTTCAGAGAAATTGATGCCCCTTGGATACGGCTTTAAAGCGATCGTCTGGTTTTAAGAAGCTGAAGGCAGACTTACAAGATCTAGCCATTCTGAACGTCGTTTACCATTTCACGAAGTTCTTTCACACTTACCGAGTATAATCTGGAGATTCAACATTAGAGCGTTCAAGTCACAGGTTATGTTTTTCTTCCTGTTCTGTCAGTGAGCAGTATTTTTTGAAAATAACTTGAGGCTATTTAAACAGACAAGGATCAGATAGTTAGTTAAAAGACACATAAGGTGATGGGATAGTTTAGTAAATAAAAGTTTAAGAGAAGTGCAGTGAAGAAGACCTGATCTGAACTAACGCAAATGAAGAAAGGCTTCAAAGAAAAAAACAGGCTTCAATAACGTTTTAACGTTATTGGTTGTGTACAAAAGACATCAGACACAAATGTTTGTCGCAACCCAGACTGCAAATTATGCAATTGTTAGTGTAATCTATGTAAATAATATTACAAAGGAGGCAGTCAACCATCTTAATAAATGAAGATAAATTAAAGTAAAGTTACTACAAGTGTACTTCTACATAAAGGTGATAAATGTACATAATTTGTTTCCCAGTTGTTCGTCGTGGTAAATGAGTGCTGGTAATATTGGCACTTTCAGCAAGTCTAGTATACTGATGAAATCTGTTAACAAGGTCCCCAGCTTTTTATTTGATGTACAAAGGAATACAAGCCTAGCAAATAACCAAATAAAACTGAGTGAACAATGTACTCATGTTTTAGGCGCTTTTAACTGTTGTATGGTACAAACTCTTGCCTTGTAATGAGAGTAAAGTTTGTAAGAATTCCGGCTTCAAAAGCACCAGAAACACAACACGGAAATACAGAGCGACTCTACTGCTCATAGTCTAGTGCAAGAAGTTACAAGGTACATTAATTTTCCTCCTAGCTGGACAAATTTATTTAAACTATGAGGCACAAAATAGTAAATGAAATTAGCTGCCCTAACACTGGTTTGCAAGACCGACATGTAGCAACTCATCGTAGAAAACAAATACCATACTGTCAAAAACGATCAGCTGCCTCTCCAAAATAACAAATCAACTTGTTCGCAAGAGGAGAAATACACTTTCCTTGATAACATACCCTTTAAATTCCTTCTCGTGATACGAATCAGGTTTTGACATCCCAGTGTCTCAATAAGAGACGCTAATATCCGTTTCGGCCTTGGTATAAAATGTCGTATGGCACGGTGGGTCACACAAGTGACCATGAGGTGTGTATCAATTTAGGTTGTATAACTGTTATACAAAGACCCATTACTATCACTAAAATTAATTATTTCATCTTGGTATCTATTTTAACATCGGAGAAGCAAAGAAGTGCGTCGGCCGTTTCTTAGGATGCTTACTCTTGCTTCCGAACCCAACACAAAGTAAGACAGACTAATGGTTACTATATGACGTACAGGCGTCGTTAACCTTCGTCTCCTGACCTTTCTTCTTTGATTTTCAAAATTTTCTTAAACATATATGTACTGTTCGTTGGCGTTTTAAGTTTCGGGAGCTTTGTGCGCGGCGATGAATGCTCGCGATTATTTCTAGTTTCTTTATCCTTTTTACGTAGCTCGCTTAAGTCTTCAGCTATAAAATCCCTCTTCGTCGGCGAACTTGCATTTGAAAGTATCGTCGAGGCATAACCGCTGTAGTTGGACGAGGTAGCAGAAATAAAACAATCTAATTCTTGCTTCTGTGAGGGTTGCGAAGTAAGCGAACAACGTGAAGAGCGGGACGGACACTGTTCGTTTATTTTGTCAGTGTCTTGTTCACGCGTATTCAATTCACTCCTCTTGGGAATTTTTAATGGCGATTCAAATTCACCAAATTCGTTCTTGCCTTGCGCATCGCTTGACGGCCTTTTCGCCCGACGCAATTTCTTCTTTTTGCCCGTTGGTGAATGTGAAGGACTTTTCGCCTGAAACGACGACAGCAGTTCTGACGAAACGGCAGCAAGAGAGGAACAAAGATGTGAGTCAATGGCCGCGAGTCTGGCATTATCCGTTGACGTTTGTGAACAATGGCTATCGGGTGAAAGCGCCGATTTCAGTTTCACGCTGTTACAGATTTTGGTCAACTTTAACTTAGCTTTCAGCGGCGAAGATCTTTTTTGTTTATGAAGAACTGTTAATTTGTTCTGGATTTTAGTGTTGTCGTGGTAGGCCAATTCAGTCGATTCAATACCTTTACCATCGTAGTTTTCAACACTATGTTCTTTACCAGCGATTTCCGATTCGTTCGTAAAATCCTCCGAACACTTTCTTTCACTCCTTTCATTCAAATCGTCGATATACATCGAGCAATATTTATCAACTTCTGTCTTTGAAATCAAAGTGCAGTTTGCCGACAAACCATTTATGCCATTGACTGTTTTGAGCAATTTGATTTCATCACGTTTGCAGAAATGCCTGCGAACTTTCATCTTTTCCATTCTTGTAAATACTGTAGCCCTCGGAGTTGTTGGCAAGACTAAAGCAAGTAACTCCGCCAGAGGTAACATGTATTCCCCATCGATGTTCAAATATGCCAGTTCAACCCCACGAAACACGAGCCTTCCACACTTAGGTAGCTCTTTCTGTACTTCTGCTGCAGGTTCTATGCTCATCTTGACTTCAAATGATATTTCAATTTATTGAGAACACTATCCGCTAGCTTCCAGTAGCAGACGTTAGTGCTAAACCTGGGCCACGGATTGCTTGAAAATCAGCCGCTTTGAGGTCAAAGCAAACTTCCAGACCGCGACCACTTGCAGCCCATATTTAGGCCTCAGTACATATCTCCTAATTTTCACCTTAACGTTGTCCAAAATGCGCGGATTTGCTCTGTATATGTAAGGCTAAAGTCACTCTATGCTTCAAACTCACGTTATAGCCAGCTAACCCCATCTCAAATGCACGCCTCTTTGCCGCTAAGCTCAGTAGCCCCAGGAACACGCTCTGATTGGTCAATATGAGAGTAACGCCACCTGATTGGCTGGTGAAATCTACTGCCTTGTTATTGAAATACATCATAGATTTCCTACTTCGCCGTCGAGGTTATGAAAATCGGGTCATTTTACGAGGAGAAAATTCACTGCAAGATTTGGAGGTCTCGACCAGATGGGCTGCAAATTTGGCCTCAGAATTTGCTTATGTAGGAATCTTCACCGTTACAGATTGCGCTTCAAGTTCCCCGCCGTGCTTGAAGTTAGTGCTTGCCTAGGAGCTTGTGACGTGTGTGATTAGAGTCCGCAGAATATTCCGTCAAATGCAGCGATAAGGTTTTGCATGACTTTTTGTAAACGTATTTCTCATGTATGTAAGATATAACTGTAGCATAGAGGCTAATGAAAGGACAGTATATTCGCGATCCCCTCTGAGTACTTGGCACTTGATCGCAGGCCGTACACTGCGCCATAAGGCAATTACACTAGACATTTTTAATTGAAATGCAGGGTTTCACATTAGTTTAGGATAACCTCTGTTTTAAGAAACGTTGATAAACAGATACTTGCCAATTTAAATAGACTGCTTTGAAAAGAAGGTTGTTGCTCTTTTGATAAAATTTATTGGGTACACACTACATGAATCTCTGCTAATTTTTCCCAACAGTTCACCAAAATCCCTTATTTTGTTGTTATTAACCTCGTTATAATGCACTGATAAATGTACATGACTGGTAAACTTGCTATTAAGGTTTGATCGATCACTATATTTATATTTATTTTTGGGTTCGGGTCAGGTTTTTCTAGTATTGAGGTTTTCACTCTTCTCGTGACTTCAGATTCCACTACGAATCACACTATCATCGTTAGAGAGTCGGTAACAGATATTTTGTGTTTTAGCAGCAAAGAAAGCGGAAATTATAACTATGAGGCGATTTGTCAAAACATGTTTCTGGAAATGTAGTAACAGATATACATTCAAGCTATCAGTGTGAGTATTTAAGCCAAACGGACTGTTAGGGACATTGCATTTCTTTACGAAAGCTCGATGATTTAGCAAAGTCAACAACAGATTGCATTTGCATATCGTGTTTCGGAAGCTTTTCACACGACGAGAATGTTTTCAGGCAAATTGATGCCCCTTGGATACGGCTTTAAAGCGATCGTCTGGTTTTAAGAAGCTGAAGGCAGACTTACAAGATCTAGCCATTCTGAACGTCGTTTACTATGTCACGAGGTACACTTATGCGGTACAATCTAGAGATTCAACATTAGAACGTTTAAGTCACAAGCTATATTTTTCTTCCGGTTCTGTCAAAGAGCAGTAGTTTTTGAAAATAACTTGAGGCTATTTAAAAAGACAAGGATCAGATAGTTAGTTAAAAGACACATAAGGTGATGGGATAGTTTAGTAAATGAAAGTTTAAGAGAAGTGCAGTGAAGTAGACCTTATCACAACTAACGCCAATGAAGAAGGGCTTCAAAGAAAGAAACAGGCTTCAATAACGCTTTAACGTTAAAACATCTTAAATATATTTGGTTGTGTACAAAAGACATTAGACACAAATGTTTGTCGCAAACCAGTCTGCAAATTATGCGACTGTTGGTTTAATCTATGTAAATAATATTACAAAGGAGGCAGTCAACGATCTTGATAAAGGAAGATAAATTAAAGTTACTACAAGTGTACTTCTACATAAATGTACATAATTTGTTTCCCAGTTGTTCGTCGTGGTAAATGAGTGCTGGTAATATTGGCATTTTCAGCAAGTCTAGTATACTGACGAAATCTGTTAACAAGGTCCCCGGCTTTTATTTGATGTACAAAGGAATACAAGCCTAGCAAATAACCAAATAAAACTGAGTGAACAATGTACTCATGTTTTAGGTGCTTTTAACTGTTGTATGGTACAAACTCTTGCCTTGTAATGAGAGTATAGTTTGCAAGAATTGAGGCTTCAAAAGCCCCAGAAACACAACAGAGAGATGTTACTGCTCATAGTCTAGTGCACGAAGTTACAAGGCACATTAATTTTCCTCCTAGCTGGACGAATTTATTTAAACTATGAGGCACAAAACAGTAAATGAAAGTAGCTGCCCTAACACTTGTTTGAAAGACAGACATGTAGCAACTCATCCTAAAAAACAAATATTGTCAAAGACTATCCGCTGATGCCGCAAAATAACAAATCAACTCGTTCGCAAACGGAGAAATACTCTTTTCTTGATAACATACCCCTTAAATTCCTTCTCGCGATACGAATCGGGTTTTGACATCCCTGTGTCTCAATAAGAGACACTTACATCCGTATCGGCCTTTTTAAAATGTCGTATGGCACGGTGGGTCACACAAGTGACCATGAGGTGTGTATCAACTATAAAGGTTGTATAACTATTATACAAAGACCCAGTACTACCACTAAAATTAATTATATCATCTTGGTATCTATTTCAACATCGGAGAAGCAAAGAAGTGCGTCGGCCGTTTGTTAGGATGCTTGCTCTTGCTTCCGAACCTAACACAAAGTAAGACAGAATAATGGTTACTATATGACGTACAGGCACAATGCTATAAATAAGACTTCGCTAGATATTGATGCTCCCGTTTTAGAGTCGTTAACCTTCGTCTACTGACCTTTCTTCTTTGTTTTTCAAAATTTTCTTAAACATATATGTCCTTTTCGAACCCTCCCAATCTCAGTTTCTTTTTCAGCTCCAAAAACCATGTTAAAGAGAAATTGTAGACCCCAGGACATCGCTTTTGAACGCGAAAGTCTTTCGGCAAACTTAAGTCCACCCAAGCAAGATGTTTTAGGGAAATTCGAACAAAATTTTTTCCTCTTTCTTCATCGCAAGAAAGAAAATATTAAAACTAGGAGAGGCGATTCAATAGTAGAACTATTACAAGCAAAAAAAATCGTATTCTTTCGATGTCTATTTCAAAGAGCTTTAGACACTCAAAGTACGAGATGACACTTGACACAGCGGTTCCAGCAAGCTGAAATATCGCACGCTCACCGCTTCCCGCTGGAGGAGGAACGTTTCGCGAGAGAAACGAAGCGTCGGGAAGTGATGAAAAGCGGCTGTATTATTCGCTGGTTGGCCGGGATTTTTTTTTTGCTTCAATCGCAACAAGTCTTTTGTAACAGTATCAATACTTTCCTCAAACATTTCTTTAATATTCTACGAGTATATTACTCGTCAATAAATGAGTTTCTGCTGAGAACAAGTTCTTCTGTCATTTTTTTCGCTCACCGAAGCAGCATAATAGATCCTTACAAGTTTTGATAAAGAGCAGTATGCGAATATCCATCGACACGGCTGGAGGAGGGCCTTAAAAATAAGGTAACTTACCAAGTTTAAAGGTGATACGTCCAAGGAAAGCGAAGAAATTGCGTGCGCCACAAAGTTGCAAAACCTTACAGACGTTTGTATGGTAAGGGGCACGAACTTGCCCCCTACCACCCACAATACAACTTAACGTTATTCTAAAGCGTTCTTTCCAGCTGTGTTGAGGGATTTTCGCTGGTTGGTCCCAAATAAAACTTAATTGAGAAAAAAAAACATTGAAAGTTCAGGGATGGACCAGAAGAAAAGTTATGAGGGGGTTAGGGGCGAAAACAAAAACAAAATCCTAAGTAAACTATTAAGTATTACACATTTAGATTGATTTTCGCCAAAACAAAAAACTTTCCCAGGGGAACAAAATTTCCATCTTACGAGTACCAAAAAAATTCAGTGCATGTTCCAAAATCCCCAACCCCCTACCATACGCGACCCGACGATCGCGCACCAGATCTAAAAATCGAATTGACTAATCACAACTTGGGAAACAACCCCGGCCTATTTTTGTCAAAGTTAAGATCGCGCGCGTGCGAGTGGTCAAGATGCGGAGTAACGAGGATGAGACAACCTCGTTCCAAGGGTTCTCTCCTACCCGTGTAGGAGAGAAAAATGGAAACGAGGTAGAGGGTGAGACTGGGGCGTGTGAGCCCCAGGCGCTTCTCGCGAAAATGTCACCCTGCTAAACTAGTTTTGAGGAAAAAACCGACTGTTTTGCAGTCTAGGTTATTATTACCTTGGTGTCAAAGGAGTCCTGGACAGGATGCTGCCTTTCTTCTTCACAGACTTGCCCGATGTTACTGGTCCAAGCATGCTTTCGGGCACTAAAAATAGAATGAAGAAGCGAGACGTCAAAAAAACTAAATTCCAGAAATTACTCCCTTAACCCAACATTTTGCCCCAAGTGAGAAGTAAGTGTTAATGTTGGTTTAGGGGAGGGGTAGGTGGGCAGTTTCCCGGAAACATATAATGACCCAAAATATTTTAGCTTTTCAAAGATCAGCCTGTTGGGGCAAATTGGCGGGGAGATACGGCATTGTTATGCTCTGATGACTCCATTTTAATCCTTCTAAAATAGGCCTGGATCGTTAACGTTTCGATCCAAGCCAATTTTAAAAGGATTTGTATGGAGTCATCAGAGCATAAAGGCAGCTGTGATTTTGTTATTTACTAGTAATTTCCTGCTAACGTTAAGTTCCTTCACCAATAAAGACGCGCTATTGGCAATATTAACAACCCAATGAACAAGATAGGCGTGATACAGCCCCTGTAAGGTGAGAGACTTGAAGCTAACTTAACGCAAGTTTTCAAAAACGTCATCTGACACCCAAAAAGCTGGTGCCAGGCTCTCAGCTGGTGACAAGCCAAGCGAAAATAAGTCGCTCGTAGACTGGGGAAGGGGCGATGGCGGGAAAAGAAGAAGAGAGAACCTGTAAGCATATCTTCAAAGACCCCCTTCCGCCTAGCCTGCGAGCCGCAGACATATTTCCGGTCGTCGCTTTAAGCCAAAAAAACCAGATGCTCTCGCAGGCTACCTGCCACCCTCTTTTGTCAGGTCTAGATTTCGGCTATCACCACCGACTCCAGGGCTCAAAATTAAAAAAACCCTCTGGTCGCCTTTTGGCAACCAACTGGGTAAACATTGTCGCTAGTTTTCATAATGTAAATGACGCAGCTCATACTATCGAGTGATCCATCAGATTTGATTGTTTGAAAATATCGCGGTCAGAAGTCGGTATAAATTTGGAGGTAAACTGGCTTTTTTTATGCGATTTGGCACAATTCTTTTATGACGAAAGCAAAGCAAGATAAGATGAAATGTTAGTTTCAACTTTACCCTTTTAATTAATTTAAATCTAAATCATAGAGAAATCTGGTCGCCAATTAAGAAGAATTTTTAGTCGGTATGGAGAAAATGTTAGTCGCATTGGCGACCGTATCAGTAGCAATTTCGAGCCCTGACCGAGTGACTCCCCGCGCGTCTTTCACGTCAGTTTTCACGATTTACTTTCCAAAGTGTTTATATGATGTCAACTGAGTAGACTGCGAGCAGTCTCTCTTTTTCTTCAGATTGATTGAGGGCAATGAGAGAAACTTTAGATGTGTCAAACGAGGGCGGCAATCTCTCCCGCCTTCGCCTTTAGTCACGCGCGTGGTCGTTTTCTTGTCTCGCACGACGGACTAAGAAAAAGGAGAGACTGCTCGTAGTCTATCAGCTGAGTTCATAGGGTAGATTCGCAATGGAAGGGAGATACACAAGCTGAAGTTTCTTGCGCTAACCCTTCGTCAGAGCGATTGCGAATCGTCTTTTTTTTCTTTTTACCTGCCTTTTCCAACCTTGATTCTTCCGTAAATGTCCCAGGCGTTCAGTTATTAGAGCGCGGGAGAAAAATTCACGAAAAAAAAAAAAATTCCCCGTTTTCCCGGTGTACAATTTAACACGCCCCCCACCATCTGACCGCCGCGCTCTACTATCTGAAAGCGTGGAACAGGCTGTCGTAGTGGTTACATAATTTTGTTAGGTAGGATTTGCGGATTCAGGAGAATCTTACCTGGTCTACACTCGGGGGTGATAGGAGTTCCGTCCGCCCGGTGTGTGGAAGGGTTATATGGGGGAGATCGTATGTTCTCATCATCTGTGTTTATGAATTGGTTCCAGTAGTCAACGGGCATCGACAGGAGTCGCTCAACAACCTATAAACCACAATTACATACGTTCAGTTGTCACGAAAAATAAATTGTTACTCCAGCTTACATTGTGGGACTGAATTTTCTACTTTAATTGAACACGTTAATGAACGTTTTACTAGTCATGTAATGAGGTTGGCATTTTGTTAAGGCACGGTTAGTGTTTTAGGCCTTGGAGCATCAAGACTTCTCTAAGGCTACAATTTTGGGCGAAGTTAGCGCGAGTTAGTTTTCCCAGGAGCCCATCTCCTGGTTTCCTATAAACTCTTTTTTTTTCTAACCATGGTCGTACAGAACTTAGAGCAGGTGCAGAAGGACAAAGAAGGGGGCGAGGACTAAAGAGAGATTAAAGAGCTTGAGCAACGGCAGTGCAACGGGGTACAGCAGCAAAAACGTCACTTTAAAAGTGAATTCACGTTTTTGTTCAAGCCTCATAGCGACATCGGATAACTACACCCCGCTAAATTAGTCCGATGAAGGCAAATTCTTTTGGAAATTGAATTCTTAACGAACGTTATCTAAGTTGGAAAATATAATGAAAATTTCGTCATGGGATGTTCACGATCGCAGCGGCCGCCATCGTTGCTTAAGCTCCTTACCAATAAGATCAGTGCTTCTTTCTCATTTTTCAAGTTGCTCGCAGGCTTTCTTTCTTTCTTACTCCTAAAAGTCTGCGTTCCTGGAATAGCTATCCTGAAATCTCAAAATAAGGTTTAAATAACCAAGAAAGGAGGCTAAGAAAAGATAGCAGCGTAGCAGGCGCTAGAAAGTAACAGCTGAGAGATCGGGGCGCGCAACAGAGGTTTCTCGAGCGCCCCTTCTACGCAGGCTAAAGATGGAACTCTCACATTACCTTGGGCTGCCATTTCGCCTCCTGTAACATTTGCATTGGTTCAATGTCCGTTGAAGAGTTTCCGACAAGAGTAGGGCCAAAAACTTTGGCCAAGTTACTGGACGACATTCTGCATTCGGTGCAGTGAGCCACCCTAAAAAGGAATGGAGAAATTAATAGACCATATCCTAGTTGCACAAAGCCTCTGTTTCAAAGCGAGGCTATGAGTGAAGCCATTGATATGAAACCGTTTTATTTTTCTGATGCAAATGAAACTCAATATCACAAGAAAGGTTTTACTCTTAACTTCGTTTCGAAAATGAGGGTTTTTGGAACAAAGAAATGGCATATTACGCAAAAAAAAAGTGGATGAGAGAAAATGCTCGAAAGAGTTGAAGGTTTCCCATGAAACATTGACATTAAACATACATGACTGTATTTTATTTACGCACGTAAACTTAAGCTCGTGCGTACGTAAAAATTACGCGATAGTAGAAATCCACCTTAAATGCAATTGTTGAGAAAAAAATGCCGATAGAAGGGGTGTGACTGTAAAATAAAACGAAAGAGATTGAAAGAAATACAATCCTGCCGGATAGCATCTCGATACTACGAAACACGACTAAAAAAAACCAATGACTGAAAAACGAAGCAGCTTTTGATAGAAAAAAAGTCGAAATGACTATGGTACGTTTCAACTTCACCATCTTCTTGCGCTGAGAAACTGGAGGAAATTACATGACAAGCAAAAGGAAAATGCTCATACAAAGAGCCTTACTTTTGTAAATGAACCATCAAAAAGGCCAGTGTATCTCTGTTCGCTTGAGGCAGTTCGCTGACCGCTTGATATGTAGCACTCGCACTATCATCTTCATCTGTCTTGTCTGAAGAAAAAAAGAAAGAAACACGCGCTCAGCCTCTTTCCCGACACTTTTCAGCCAATAAGAAACAACAAAAGCAATCGTGAATCGCTTCTATGAGTTTTACCGCGCTTTCTGCCGGTTACACGTGTTTGCGTTGAGCTCTGATTGACTGAGTTTTGCAGCACACGGTGAAATAAAAGCAAAACAAAAAAAAGAGTTCGCGTTCCTACTAATAGGCCACTTCCGAGTTCCAAAACCCTCACTTTCAAAATGAGGCCAAGTGTACAACCTTTCTTGTGAAAATGAGTTTCATTTAAAGGAGAATGAAAATTATTTCCATATCAAAGGCTGAGCACTTACACTCGCTTTGATACAGAGGTTCGGGGGAACTCGAAAATGGCCTAATTAATCAAGATTATTCCAACTCGCTCAGTTAAATACAGTTGAACTTTCCGGGAGTTGAAAATGGTATTTAATTAACGGTCTTACTTGCAGCATCCACGAATGCCGACCAAAGTTTGTACGTAAGGAGTGGTTCGGCCAGTTTCCTGAAGAAATCTTTGAGCAATCCGCACACAACGTGAATGTCTTCAACTTTGCTCTGTGGACAAAAAAAGAATAATTATAAAAACTTCTGAAACACGGTTTCTTTGTCCAAGTGTCTTACAAAACCGTTAATTTTAATAATGAATACTACAACAAGAAAAAAATGCAAATAGTTTTCTTTCGGAAGAAGACCACTCTGAAAGTATGGCTTGCGTGGCAGGCGTTTCGAGGGAAAGACACGCGCGAGAACGTCTAGACTGATTTAGATTGCTAGCAGTCCTTCAAGATTGTCGCGCGGGTCCTACATGTTACCTGCGAGAGAGAGTAACGCGCGAGGGAGAAGATGTAACAGGTTCGCCCACGCGGCAATCCTGAGGCCGAGGGACTGTTGGAAGTCTAAAGAACGTGGCGTTCTTGCGGGTCTCATCCCCAACTTTCCTTTCAATCACCTACCACACCAGACTAAGGAAAATACTGCTCAGTCAGTAACCCTCTACATACTGTCATGAAAAGTGACTCTTTGCAGAGATTTTCAGAATATTTGCAAAAATTATGTGTTACCGTGCCATATACGCACTCTTCTGTGATCATAACTCAATGTGCATGCCTATTTAGGTTGTTAAAAATGTGCACATTTTTTTTATTTTCAAAATCATCATTGACGAAGATATGAGAGACATCGAAAAAAGTATTTCAAATAAAAATATATCGATCCTGATCTATCTTGAATCCTGACTACCATCTGGAAAATCACATTTATTTCACTTTACCAAGTCAGTGGTCTTTCCTTGCAGAAACTTTTCCTTTAATTCCTTTACACTTCGTTCAGCTCTGAAAGTACAATGCACACAATAAGACTACAAAAATCACCATGACGAGTTGCAGATTAATTCGTGATTCTATTTTGCCGAAAAATGAAGTTGTGTTCGTTGTCGATCCTTTTATCCTGTCTGTTAACTAATGCTCCGATGAACGTTAGGCTTTACGGCTACGCTCACATGGTACCAGACGAATTTAGTTCACAAGGAACTGTTCAATATTTTCGCTCTGTTCACAGAAAACTGGCCAATCAAGTTGAATTTTGACTTCTGTCAGTTCACGTGAACTTCTGTCAGTAGCTTTATCACCTGCCCATGCGCAGTGCGCAACTTGAACAAATCCAAAATGGCGTCTCCCTGCTGAGTTACCACTCATCAACATAACCATGACTTGGCCGTAGAAAACACGACGGGTGTGTTCCTTTCGGCGAATCCAAAAACGGATTTTTGATCCTAGATTTGCCAGATTTCGCGGTCGAAAGGAACGTGAAATCCGAAATTGGATTTGTAACCTTGGTAACCTTTCGCCAACGCGTGCAAT